TAGGGACTTATGAAGGAAAGTGTCAATAACAAAAATCTGACAAATATTGCTGAAATTGAAGAAGAAGAGGTCCGATATTAGGACAGCATGGACCACGACTTTCTAACTTCTTTGATCAGCAGTATGCCTCGCCGCATTGAAGCCTGCATTGCTGCACATGGTGACTTGACAAAATACTAACTGTTCACATGTCTTTGAATCTGGAGTTATGTTCTGCTAATATTTAATACGTGAGTAATGAGTGAAAATAATAAAACAATTACAATCTTTAAATTCTCAATAATTTCTGGTTGTACTGTATCTAACATTTTGCCGATCTAAATACAGACTTCCAACTTTGTTTCGTTTTATAGGTTCTTTTTATGCTTGAAAACGGTATAAGAACACATACCGAAACGTCGCTTTGTTAAAATAAAGAAGTTGATCATCCATTAAGTTGTGTCATCTCTAGGCCAGTTCGTTCTACATCGTCTCTCATTATCCAGTTTTCGGTGGCTCGCTGTACTTTTAAGTAGATTCTATGTTGTATTTTTATATCAAGAGGTGAGGCGTGAATATAACCTGTCTGTCTGTCTAAAAACAAAATGGGAACCGTTATACGGTAATAAAGTAGGAGACCCGTGAAGGTCCGGGTTAGAATATTGATCTTCAGTAACCCATGCTTGTCGTAAGAGGCGACTATCGGGATCGGGTGGTCAGGCTCGCTGACTTGGTTGACACATGTCATCGGTTCCCAATTGAGCAGATCGTTGCTCATGCTGTTGATCCCTGGATTGTCTAGTCCAGACTCGATTATTTACAGACTGCCGCCATATAGCTGGAATATTGCTGAGTGCGGCGTAAAATGAAACTCACTCACTAAAAAGGAGGAAACGATAATCTTTGGTAAGATTATCGCCGTATCGTTTTGCAGTTCTCACAGTACAAAGATCACTTATCATTTCTTAATTAGTACGATAGTCCAGTACACGTATAAACACTAATGATTAGAGGTGAGGTGAAATTATGTTTAACGTCGTGCTTGAGAATATTTCGCTCATATGACGACGTGCATGCGTGTGTATGTGTATGTGCGGCTGCTTGTACTAGCCCAGACTTAAGTTGGTTTTATAGTGCTTGCCTACTGAGATACCATGCCGCAGTGAAGCATGAATACCCCACTCAGACACATTATACTGACTCCGAGCCGACCAGTCCTTGTTGTACCCATTAATGCCGAGTGCCAGGCAGGGACCAACAAGTACCATATTTTAACGTCTTTTGGTATGAAGCGGTCGGGCATCGAACCCGCAACCTTCCGCTCTCCGGGCGGACGCTCTAACCACTACACCACGGAGGCGGTCTTAATGATTAGAGACATATCAACGTTCATAAAGACAGAACAGAACAGAACTTCATTACACTCAGGCCTATATCCTCGACATATGAGGTACAAGTGACAATAAATGATAATATTATGGCGGAAGTGTAGTTAGCCGGAAGATTTTACAATTTGCATGATATATTTACATAATTTACTGATATATTTCATAATAGATATCCTTTACATAAAGACTGATTTAAATTTTAACATATTTGGTCTTTTTATAAAGGAAGCTGGTATGTACATTGATCTTTCTTTCTAAAATATAAACATTTAAAGATATAATGAAACTCATCACCCTCATCATTCATACAACATAATTTACATTTTCTTTCGTCTGTTGGTATCCTATTCCATCTTCCTTTTTCAACTGGTAAATGGTGGCATGAGGCACGAGAATGGAGTAAGGGATAACTTTGTTACAGGGTTGGGACGTTAGATAATTTTCAAATTCAAATTGAGATTTCAAAAGAGAATATGTTTTATCTTTTTTGGAATTTTCCACCTCTGAGCTCCAGATTTGAATAGCATTGTCATTTAAACTTGAATGAGCTGTATTTTTTATCCAGGAAGATGAAATTGCAGACTGTGAAAGCCATGCATAACTTAAAACAATGTTATTAAAATATTCTCTGTACATGAAATCCAGCTTTAGCTGTGAATACCTTCATTATGAAGATTATATTCAATAGAATAAAAGACTGAAGATAACTAAGATGAATTGTTTGTAAATAATTTAGAACAAAATATTAACATACGAGTTTTAACATCAACATAAAGTGGAACTCTACCTATTTCACCATAAAGCATATACAACGGGGTACTTTTATTTACAGGTAAAAAAATTCTCATAAAACATATATGTACAGTTTTGAAATTTGTTTTAAATTAACACATCCCCACGTTTCACAACCGACCAACAAGACTGGTTTCACCACTGAATCGAAGACATATAAACCCATGTGCAAAAGAAACGTCCCGAGTATTTTTCAACTACCAAACAACACAAACACGAGTGACTGAGTGAGTTTAGTTTTACGCCGCACTCAGCTATATTCCATCTATATGGCGGCAGTCTGTAAATAATCGAGTCTGGGCTAGACAATCCAGTGATCAACAGCATGGGCATCGATCTGCACAATTAAGAACCGATGACATGTGTCAACCAAGTCAGCGAGCCTGACCATCCGATCCCCTTAGTCGCCTCTTACGACAAGCATGGGTTAGTGAAGATCAATATTCTAACCCAGACCTTCACAGGTAACACAAACACGAAACGATATGAAGGTGTACGTAAAGCATGTCTGACATAAAGGAAGAGAACGTGACAAATGTAATACTGGTGTAGGGAATGTTGTCACATGGGGGTCGATTGTCCAGTATTCGAGCACAAGCCAAAACAACAAATGACAAATTAGAGGTGACCAACTCGTGTTATTCCGGGACAAGCCGAATAGCGACTCGTGCCCTTCTGGAAGGATTTCATATTGGCGCATGAACATCAGAACTACTTTAAACAGGAACGATAACTCTATTCTTGTTTGATTCCAATGGTACTTAATATCACCGAAGTAATCATACATGTATTGCTGTTTATGTTTTTAAAGAATTAAACCTTTTTGATACAACTAAAAGAAGGAGAAAAACTTATTTGTTACAGACTTATTCTGACGTAATTATTTCCAGATGTTCACCCTATATTTCCAATTATATTTCTAAATAGGGTTTGATAATCACAAATGGGATTTGTTTTATTAAATATGTAAATAAAATTTATAAAAGCTACATTAAATCCCAGAGCAGAAACTCAAAAAAATGACATTAAAATATTTCTCAAACTGAACATTCGAGTAAAATGCTGTCATACCCCAAGTGGAATTTTAAATAAATTCGCTGAAAAATATATGAATGACCAAAAAAAAGTCAGACTAAAATATTCCCAGAGATGAGAAATATATGCCCAATGTTAAAGATTAAAGTTGATTAGTTGCATGCAGATATATGTCTAATATTATTGTTTTGAAACTCGAAGCGATTAATAATTATATTTCCTAAAATTGTTGGAAGCGCACGTACAATCTCCGTAGCAAGCCCGCAAGATCGTCAGAAACACCCTCAGTTGGACCCATGAGAGCCGTTTTGTCAACAAACGCACGTGCGTGTATTTGAATCTCTCACCGTCAATCGCATGATTCTTACGAAAAACTTCATAATAGGCAGCAAAATGCTGTTAGCTAAGTTCTTTGTACTTTCAATATGACTATATATATTTTCATGGTATTTTAAACAATGACATAATGCCATAAACGATTTAAGTACTCGGGATTATTTTTACCAAAGCATCGCAGTCATTTACGCGCGTACTGATTGGTTTGTGGTATTTTCGAACATAACAAGCATCGATAGGGGGCATTCGTCAGCACTCGCCTCTTTCCGTAACCTCCAAGAAGACTCGTCCCCCTATCGATGCTTGTTATGTGCGAAAATACGACAAACCAATCAGAACAGCATGTATAGAGTAGTTTTAACATAATATCCTTGAATATAAAAATACACAGTTGTTCTTAAATTTTGATAGTTCCGACATGTAAAAGGGTAGTGAATAACGTCTTCGTTATAATAACCACATGAACACCTGGATGTGTCCGATATATGTCGATTATATCTGTCTCCGTTTAGATCACTACAGCCGAGCTTGAGGCGACAATGAATGATTTGACAAAATCTAGTCCCAAAATTCAATTCAAAGTAATTGTTAGTTTCTGTTGTGTTTATCATGGTTTTAAATTGATTCAGGGAAATAGCGTTAACAGCTCCATCGGGCAATAAATTCCACAACATAATCACGCTCGCTTAAACTGATTGACACTATCATTGCGTTCTACAATTAATAGTTTGAATGGGAGTACTATTTCTAAGATTATAGTTGCTTTGTTCAAGTACAGATTTGACGGGATGCACGGTTCGTATACCCTGACAAATCCGCCTTCACGGTTTTTATATCACAAAGTGTGAGATTTTTATTACTTTTGTCAGTCGGTTCACTCATATTGGTTATTATATAGCTCGGTATGTGCAAAGCTGTGCTTTATGCGTCGAATGTTTGTAACTAAATGTTCAGTGTTTTTTTCGGGGATCCGTCTCGGCAAAATGAAGCAATAATTCACAGTTCATAATGATCAGTCAACTCAGTTAAATGTAATCAAATATGACATGTGGCATGGGGGTTATAAAATAGCAGTTAAGTTTACGATAAGTCATTCTACAATGGCAGGGACATTCACATAAATATTTATTTCCTGGTGTGACATTTAACGCTATTCATGTACTTGCTGATTTAAAATTTCCCCATACTTGTCAGATAATTCATTTTCGTATATTTGAATAGATGCAATATTGTGTATGCATATGACGTTACATGCAATATTAGTAAAATTAAAAATGTCACCATATTTTCAAATGACTCATATTCGTATTTGCGGGTGCTATATGCAATAAACAAAATGTCATCAACTTTAATGCTTACCAGTAAGTGCTGGCATACTTGCACTTCTACTACAGACTATAGCTTTAATCCCCTTTTAAAGCGATTAGAATATTATTTACAATCTCACTTACTACGTTTTACATTAATTATACGGGTTTTGGTTATAAGCTTAACACAAATGACAAACACTCCAAAAGACACAGTTCTTAGCTTAAAAATATTAATGTAAGTTGAAAATATCCATATTGTAGATGCCATGACAATGTCGCATCGATTGATTAGACGATATATTGGCAGTTGCGCGGAAAGTTTATTCAACAGTCCAGCGAAAACACCACTACTTGTAAAGTCAAGTCAATGCTCAGTTGTTTCTCTCCTGGCGGCCATTATGCCACGGCTATCTTACACACGACTCCGCGCTCACGTGTAATGGTCTCTACCCGTGGTGCGGCTATTATTAACACCCTCCCTCATATATCGTCACGGCCACGGAGCTAACACAGAATGACCGAAGCCATCATAAAATTAAGATCATCTAATAAAAACAAAACACCGTCGAATCTCATAAATAAACTCACTGGATGTCGTGCCTGAAACCTTTCAATGACAGAACACCATGTCCAAACATGTGGAAACCAAAGGTCATATATTAGATGGGTCTGACTGATCACATCACTCTTATTTTCCTGCAAGATCGCACCTGAAAAGACTTCATCAGATAATTTAAAATTGATCTCTCTGTGACGACCTCCAATTTTAGTTTAACATGGGTCCTCCTTTGATCCAAAGTTTGTTTCCTCCGAAATGCTTGTGTCACGGTTGCACACGAGTGACCAGCGCGACTCACACCCGTGTGCAACGCGTGTCAAACGCACGACACAGGGCTCCCACACGGGTTGCGTCACGCGTTGCACACGTGTGTAAGGGGAATGAACTTTTAAGCAGTAGTGTATCAAAGGGATTCTTGAGTTTTATCGTTGTAGATCATTTGATATATATCTCTTTGTGACGGAAAACCTAACTTTGTGTTTCAGGATAATGTTTTGACTATTTTGAGATCTTTTGTTACTCACTGATTTTACAATGTAGTTCTAACGATTTCTGGGTCTGGGTTATAATATTTATTCTCCGGCCTCTAAATGTGCCTCATTTAAAGGAGAAGCCATTGTATTAAGTGGCTGTATCTTTAACTGGTGCTGGGAGAAATACATAGCTATCTGGAAACAAGTTCAGCATTTTCCGAACACTTACACATCTTGTTTAAGCCTTGAATAGTCCTCGTTGTCGCATGCTTCCACTTTAGATTTGGTGTGGTTGTACAGGTCATCCTAAGCCACATCCTTCAAACGGCCATATGTGCTACCATCCGTCACAGACGCGGTTACTTCCGGTCTCCTGGCGTGGTCATACACATCGTCATCAACCTGCTGGCCAAGTCGACCGTAGATACCAGTCACCTGTTGGACCTTCCCAGCCGTACCGCCATGTGCATGGTCATACACACCCTCTTCTCTAGGATCCCGGGTCAGCTTTCCGTACACCCCATCCCCTCCAACTCCTGGGTCTGGGGAAGGGGCCCCGGAACTATCATACATGCCTTCACGAACAGTGCCTTGTCTTGGAATCACATCAGTAGGTCCAGATCTTATATCTTCTCCTTGGTGAGACTGGCCCTCAACACCATCTTCAGTCGGATGGTGAACTGATGCTGACGCCATTCCATGCGAACTGTGGCCGCTGCTGGGATTCGAACCAGGTGCTGTTTGTCCGTTTAGTCTCTGCTCTGGGGCATCTTCAGGACGAGGCGGAGAAGCAGCGTGTATTGTACCCCGACCGGAACCAGCTTCAACAGTCATGTAGACTGGATTCCTTTTCATTCTCTTTCTCCTACACAAGTATGAGTGGTAATAGTATCAACAGTTTTAGACAATCCTTTCTTGTGTATTGACACTTTCATCATTCAGTATGCCATGATAAGAACAATAGGTTAAATTATAAATCCAGTCGATTATCCACTTTATGAAGAATTACTGGTATTCAATCAGAGGAATTAGATTAATCTTTGAGAATTTATTGAAGCGTGAGGTCGTTTGTTTTTACCTTTCAAATAACACCACAGCAACCAGAGCTGCCACCAACATAATGATGATCGCCGCCAATGGTACTGCTGCAGCCACTGTTGTAGTAGGGAAGTTACTGGGTTCTCCTTCTGGAAAGGTTTCAGATTCATCGTTGTAGTGTCTTAGTTTTTACATGATGTTTTGTAGATCAAAAGTACATTTATATGCCCCCCTCTCCCTCTCTCCTCTCGCTCACACCCTCGTTCTGCCCAACCCTGTATTTCGCTAACTCCATCACTCCACTCCTCTTAACTCTGAATCATGTCTAACTCTGAATCTCTCTCTCTCTCTCTCTCTCTCTCTCTCTCTCTCTCTCTCTCTCTCTCTCTCTCTCTCATCACACACACACACACACACACACTCACCCACTAACACACACACACACTCACTAGCACACTCTCGCTCACCATCCTCTCTGTGACCATCAATGTTAGTTGGCGATCTTGGATTACAGCTGACCTCCAACGTTTGATTAGAATTGATCTTCAGTAAACTATTTTGTGGAAGGACCAAACAAAGTCAGCAAGCCTGACCATTCGATCCGTTAAGTAGCCTCTAGTGACCTGCATAGGCTGCTGTGGATCAGTATCAGTCGGGGTCCCCACGGGACCTAGATTCTAAATAAGAGTTTGAAACTTACCTTTTATGAGAAACATTTGCCCTTTTTCCATATCAGCATTAACTGTAATGGTCACGTTCTGTGTACAGCCCGAAGGGATCTTCTCACAACGCATCATGCAGTTGCGTCCGTCATCTTGATTTCCACTACCACATTCCCCACATTGGGTGCTGTCTGAGAGACGTGTCAGTGTGAGGCAGACAGTCGACCTTAAACTGCATGTACATGGTTCTCTTTGTGGTTCAACTCGGCTGTGAACAAGGTTAACTATAAGACCTCGGGTAGTGTTTGAACTGCATACATCTATATTAATGGATGCATCTTTTGGGGGTATTAACGTTTTTCTACCAACAGCCGTATGCTTGCTGACTGACTTGCTCACAGCTACGTCGGGGAGCACACTCAGGCCTGCCCCCTTTCTGTTCTTCGATCTTGTTGGCTGTACATGTGACTGGGTCTGTTTTAACCAAAAATAAGTAACTTAGAAATGTTATAACACCTGAAGTGCAAAAGTAATAATATTTGTTACATTTCAAATCACTTATGTGGGTGAAAATGTGATTTAGCTTCTGAGGTCCACCATACAGCTGTAATATTGCTCAATGCGGCTTTAAACAACAAACAAAACACAAACACACACACACCATACTGAGGAATGACGAAACTAATGTGAATACAACAACGGAAAAAACTCATCACCTATACACAGATGCATGTCCTTGTGTTTTGGTCCCAAATACATCTATATTCATTTTGTTCAAACTATTTGAAAAACGTAGCAACAATTGCAATTAGAAATATTCATACAATGGATAGCGTTCTCGGCAGGATAAAGCCAACGGATATTTTCAGTATCCGCTGGGGTCATATATGTATATCGATGCAAACTAGAGAGGTCATATGCCAATTGTAGGGACTATACTTTCATAGTGTAAACAAACATGGCATCACTAATCGGCGATCTGTCCGGATTGACGGCCTTGGTTACGGTGTTGTCAGTGCTTTGATCCAAGAAACTTCATGTCTGGATGTGATAGACGGAGTGGATTACGAAGCGAAGATAGAAATTCAAAGGCTTACGAAGATACCAACACCAGTTCCCCCACCGACTGTCAGTGTTAGCGAGTAGATTGCACAGGAATCCAGGTGCAGAATGTCACGCGGACATTAAAGTGTATTTGTCCTTAAGGTTACTAAAATTCCACACAAGTTTGTTGTTATTTTTCAAACGTAAGCTAAGATTTGTTACGTGCTTTAACACAAACACTTACTGGGAACAAGATCACCTGACGCAGTAAATTGAGTGATCAGAAGAAAATTGTGTCACCTAGCTTGTGACGTAACGTATTTCTACGAGTACCGTATTTCCTCTATTAAGCGCGGGTTTCTATTAAGCGCCGGGCCTCTAATAACCGCCGAGGATAAAGCAGTGCTTTAAGAAATAAGCACCGGGCCTCTAATAACCGCCGGGTATAGACCTTTGCATTTTTTCGCAAATGTATTCTCCCTTGGTCTAAAAATAAATATATTAAGGAATGGTCCCTTAAATCATAACTTCCTGTAATCCAGAAAGAAGGCTTTGTACTCATCCCCGCTTTTAAAAATACAGGGTATTTTGATAAGCGCCGGGCCTCTAATAAGCGCCGGGCTGGAGGTCCGTTGACAAAATAAGCACCAGAGGCGCTTATTAGAGGAAATACGGTATATTTGTGACGTCATATATATCAGTGGACATTCCACGAAGTTTAGGTTTATGATTTGTGGCAATTGAAATCGCATTTTTTAAAAGTTACGAAGTGAGAATGATAAATAGGTTACCACAATCCCGATACCCCCACACTCGCGTTCTCTCTCTCTCTCTCTCTCTCTCTCTCTCTCTCTCTCTCTCTCTCTCTCTCTCTCTCTCTCTCTCTCTCTCTCTCTCTCTCTCTCTCTCTCTCTCTCTCTCTCTCTCTCTCTCTCTTATATACATATGCATGCACTCAACGTAGCAACGTAAATTATAACGAACACAAAGGGACCACTAATTTCAGCATTTACGGAGATTTCTTGGGGACTTGGAAAGGGTTTTGTAGTTTTTGTTCAAAAATATAACATTTAGGACATGATTAATTTTGAATTCTAACAATGGAATTACTATTTTCCAACGCATTTAATTATATTCCTTCACATTTTTGAACTACTGAACAGGGACAGAAAAGACATACCTTCAACACAGTGAAGGTGTTAAGATTTTTGTGTAAGTAAATATAACATGCAGCTTGTCATGACACTTGCGTTAGAGTCAATGTCTTTCTTGAGCGTTTTTCGCAAGCTCAGCATGACACACATTCATGAAAACACTGTAATGTATCAAATACTAAAACAATAGTGCAGATAGAATTACTGTACCTGTCTGACCACATTGAACTTTGAGGTTCCCCTTTGTTGCTGAAAGAAAAATATTGTTGTAAATATTGTGTTCATAAAGAAAACGTTTTGAATATGTATTGAAATTAAATGGCAAATAATATTTCCCTCTATAACGCCAAAATTTATTAAAAATAATAAATACTCTTGTTAGCACGTCCATGTTCATTCCAAACATTGCGGCGGTCTGACACCGACCAATTCGTTGTGCGGAGTTGCGTCCCTTGGTCGTGCCTGACTCTACATTAAAGCCGATTACGCCCCTTTGATTAATTTGTCGACAATGTGTCCATATTTGTCGGTTTCATCACCACCATATTAAGCTGGATCGCCGTGATATAACTACACTGTATATTGTTCAAAGAGGCGTAAAACTCTACACGCTTCTTAAACTCCATGTTAAATACGTCGTTACAACAGTATGACAAGCCAGTGGAAGCAGCGGTGGCTGACTGGATTAGATGGCTTCGGTATGCGCTGGCGATGAGAGTGTGGGTTCGAATCCTGGTTGGGAAAAATTATACAACATGGGTAATCCCAAAAATATAGCATGTGTTACTTTTGACCACTTTCTAGATGGCATTCGAAATAATGCAGAATAATAACGGCTGTGTAACACTATGTCTTACCTTTCAAGCTCAATATAGTGCCGTTAATATTGGTCATAGCGATGCTGATAATAGTACCGTTGTGAAGAGATAATGTTTTCGGTCCATACGGTTTGTTCTTCGATTTTTCACAATGAATAATGCATGTTCTTGCATCTTTTGACCCATTCCAGCATTCCACGCATCTGTTCCCAGGCTCTGTTTTGATGGTGACATCACTTCCTGCGGTAATTCTACAACTGCAGGCGCCATAGTTTGGGGTGCCCTTCACACGGTGAACGAGGTTGACTGAAGAGCTTTGTCTACTGTTAGGTGTACAAACATCTATTTCCAACGTGTGCGAGGCGGCTGAAATAAACCAAAACCACTGAACGGTCACACACACGTCATAACCATTGTGAAAACCATTGTGTCTTATTAGAATTATCGAGTGTGTTCAGACTGGAAACTAATCTTTATTCACAAGTAAACCCAAAGGAGACGTAAGGTTTTAACGAAAGCATCGATTGCAGAATTATCGGCCAAATGCAAAGAAAAGGCGATTCATAAACATTGGGAGACAAATCTTGGCAAACGTCAAACCTCATTTAACCTGAAAACGTTAAAACCGTAAATAATTCCATTTCGATGTTTGAACTGTACAGTCAGAATAAATAATCTAGAATTGCTGCGGTCATTTATATGACCAATTTCAATGATTTCAGACAGGGTTTCCTTATACTCATCATTATTTTTACCCTGATGTCTCATATGCAGAATTGTATTAAAACAGTCAAAGAAAACCTGCATATCCACATACACCTTAACTTGATAATGTGCTCGAAACGTATCTGCCATCTCATGCCATTTAAGTTCGCAGCGCACAAACTGCTGAAAACCAGTCTGCAGAAGAGGACTGCACAGGTAACACTAGTCTGTCGAACTGACCATGGAACCCAAATACCCTATTTAGGCTCTTTTTATTGTACTTCAATTTAATTAATAAAACTTTGTTTTTCTGTAAAATATGTTCATTTCAGAAACTAGCTGTTAGTCGTTGGGGGAAGTATATGGTTTAGGGGTGGGGCTATGTCCACTGTGTACATAGGTATGACGTCAAGCTCAGCTGAACTCAGCAATAGTGATCGTGGTGTTCAGCATTAAAAGATATACTTAGCCCAGACATAACTTTGAGGAAATAGAAATAAAAGCGAAACCCTTCTCACCGCCATAAGAAATCTCCGCTCTTAACAGAGCCGAATGTACGATTTCGATTATATCATGAGCAGTGTTTCTGAGTCACTCAAATGGTGGGGACACCAGGTGTTCGAGGAAAGGTGGGTTTATGCTGCCCCAAACGGTGGCGCCTTTCACAAACACATACAAAAGCTGGTATTTTATTCATATGACGTTGATTGTTTTTTAGTTTAACGCCAAACTCAGAAATATTCCAGCTGTATATAACGGCGGTATGCAACTAATCGAGTCTGGACCAGACAATCCCGTGATCAATAGCATGGGCATCGATCTACGCAATTTGGATACGATGATATGTGTCAACAACTCTACGAGTCTGACCACCCGATCCCGTTAGTCGCCTCAAACGACAAGCATGGGTTACTGAAGATCAATTCTAACCCGGATCTTCACGGGTCTATTTTATTCATATTAAAAAAGAACACAAGAAAATATGGCACAAGCCATTTTAGGGATTTGCATGAGACATCATTTGTGTCCTGTGCCTCAGAATGTCTACCACAAAAAATTCAGAAAGGAAATGATACCTTTTTAGCATATATATAAAAATAGCATCCGTATACGATAGTATATATATATGTATTTCTTATCGTGTTACTTTCATTTGAGATCAGCCCCATAACACACCCAGAAAGAATACACATTAAGTGTAAAATGCTAAAGTGTAAAGCACACACAACCGAATGCAGTTGAACGCTAGTCTTCTCTGTATCCCAGGTGATATAAATGAAGTAAACTGTGGTTATGACGAGTAAATGAGTGAGTGAGTTTAAGTTTACGTCGTTTTTAGCAATATTCCAGCAATACCACGGCGGGGGACACCAGAAAAGGTCTTCACACATTATACCTATGTAGGGGAATCGAACCCGGTGTCTTCGGCGTGATGAGCGAACGCTTTAACCACTTGGCTACCCCACCGGCCCCGGTCATAACGAACTAAAAAGGTCCACTTATATCAGTTCGAAATAAGCGTAGTTCATTAAATACATTCTGGGTAAACTATACATCAAGTGGGTATGGACCATAAACAGTTCGTTATATTCGTCAGTTCATATGTAAAATATGTGTAATGTAACTACTCATTCAGAATGTTGACTTATCATCATCATTATTGATTACTTTGCATTCTGATTATTCAATATTTTCTATACTGATTTTATTAAAGGTACTAGCTTGTTATAGGGGCAGTGGTGGTTAAAGCGTTCGCTCGTCACGACGAAGACCCGGGTTCGATTCCCCACATGAGTACAATGTGTGAAGCCCATTTCTGATGGCCCCCGCCGTGATATTGCTGGAATATTGCTAAAAGCACTGTAAAAACATACTCACTCACTATTGTTTGTTTATACTCGAAAAGGGATTGTATTCTGTCGTTTTTATTTTCCAAATAGTAACCTAAATAGGTAAATGACGGATTAATGTGATTGAACCACTCCACCGACCTCCAGCACAGAAGGTACGGACATTAGTCTCAGTATTCTACTATAGTTATAACATGTCACGCGGACATTAAAGTTTATTTGTCCTTAAGGTTACTAAAATTCCACACAAGTTTGTTGTTATTTTTCAAACGTAAGCTTAGATTTGTTACGTGCTTTAACACAAACACTTACTGGGAACAAGATCACCTGACGCAGTAAATTGAGTGATCAGAAGAAAATTGTGTCACCTAGCTTGTGACGTAACGTATTTCTACGAGTACCGTATTTCCTCTATTAAGCGCGGGTTTCTATTAAGCGCCGGGCCTCTAATAACCGCCGAGGATAAAGCAGTGCTTTAAGAAATAAGCACCGGGCCTCTAATAAGCGCCGGGTATAGACCTTTGCATTTTTTCGCAAATGTATTCTCCCTTGGTCTAAAAATAAATATATTAAGGAATGGTCCCTTAAATCATATCTTCCTGTAATCCAGAAAGAAGGCTTTGTACTCATCCCCGCTTTTAAAAATACAGGGTATTTTGATAAGCGCCGGGCCTCTAATAAGCGCCGGGGCTGGAGGTCCGTTGACAAAATAAGCACCAGAGGCGCTTATTAGAGGAAATACGGTATATTTGTGACGTCATATATATCAGTGGACATTCCACGAAGTTTAGGTTTATGATTTGTGGCAATTGAAATCGCATTTTTTAAAAGTTACGAAGTGAGAATGATAAATAGGTTACCACAATCCCGATACTCTCCTCTCCCCACACTCGCGTTCTCTCTCTCTCTCTCTCTCTCTCTCTCTCTCTCTCTCTCTCTCTCTCTCTCTCTCTCTCTCTCTCTCTCTCTCTCTCTCTCTCTCTCTCTCTCTCTCTCTCTCTCTCTCTCTCTCTCTCTCTCTCTCTCTCTCTCTCTCTCTCTCTCTCTCTCTCTTATATACATATGCATGCACTCAACGTAGCAACGTAAATTATAACGAACACAAAGGGACCACTAATTTCAGCATTTACGGAGATTTCTTGGGGACTTGGAAAGGGTTTTGTAGTTTTTGTTCAAAATATAACATTTAGGACATGATTAATTTTGAATTCTAACAATGGAATTACTATTTTCCAACGCATTTAATTATATTCCTTCACATTTTGAACTACTGAACAGGGACAGAAAAGACATACCTTCAACACAGTGAAGGTGTTAAGATTTTGTGTAAGTAAATATAGCATGCAGCTTGTCATGACACTTGCGTTAGAGTCAATGTCTTTCTTGAGCGTTTTTCGCAAGCTCAGCATGACACACATTCATGAAAACACTGTAATGTATCAAATACTAAAACAATAGTGCAGATAGAATTACTGTACCTGTCTGACCACATTGAACTTTGAGGTTCCCCTTTGTTGCTGAAAGAAAAATATTGTTGTAAATATTGTGTTCATAAAGAAAACGTTTTGAATATGTATTGAAATTAAATGGCAAATAATATTTCCCTCTATAACGCCAAAATTTATTAAAAATAATAAATACTCTTGTTTGCACGTCCATGTTCATTCCAAACATTGCTGCGGGATTGACACCGACCAATTCGTTGTGCGGAGTTGCGTCCCTTGGTCGTGCCTGACTCTACATTAAAGCCGATTACGCCCCTTTGATTAATTTGTCGACAATGTGTCCATATTTGTCGGTTTCATCACCACCATATTAAGCTGGATCGCCGTGAATAACTACACTGTATATTGTTCAAAGAGGCGTAAAACTCTACACGCTTCTTAAACTCCATGTTAAATACGTCGTTACAACAGTATGACAAGCCAGTGGAAGCTGCGGTGGCTGACTGGATTAGATGGCTTCGGTATGCGCTGGCGATGAGAGTGTGGGTTCGAATCCTGGTTGGGAAAATTATACAACATGGGTAATCCCCAAAATATAGCATGTGTTACTTTTGACCACTTTCTAGATGGCATTCGAAATAATGCAGAATAATAACGGCTGTGTAACACTAAGTCTTACCTTTCAAGCTCATTATAGTGCCGTTAATATTGGTCATAGCGATGCTGATAATAGTACCGTTGTGAAGAGAAAATGTTTTCTGTCCATACGGTTTGTTCTTCGATTTTGCACAATGAATAATGCATGTTCTTGCATCTTTTGACCCATTCCAGCATTCCACGCATCTGTTCCCAGGCTCTGTTTTGATGGTGACATCACTAACTGCGGTAATTCTACAACTGCAGGCGCCATAGTTAGGGGTGCCCTTCACACGGTGAACGAGGTTGACTGAAGAGCTGTGTGTACTGGTAGATGTACAAACATCTATTTCCAACTTCTGCAAGGCGGCTGAAATAAACCAAAACCACTGAACGGTCACACACACGTCATAACCATTGTGAAAACCATTGTATCTTATTAGGATTATCGAGTGTGTTCAGACTGGAAACTAATCTTTATTCACAAGTAAACCCAAAGGGAGACGTAAGGTTTTAACGAAAGCATCGATTGCAGAATTATCGGCCAAATGCAAAGAAAAGGCGATTCATAAACATTGGGAGACAAATCTTGGCAAACGTCAAACCTCATTTAACCTGAAAACGTTAAAACCGTAAATAATTCCATTTCGATGTTTGAACTGTACAGTCAGAACAAATAATCTAGAATTGCTGCGGTCATTTATATGACCAATTTCAATGATTTCAGACAGGGTTTCCTTATACTCATCATTATTTTTACCCTGATGTCTCATATGCAGAATTGTATTAAAACAGTCAAAGAAAAACCTGCATATCCACATACACCTTAACTTGATAATGTGCTCGAAACGTATCTGCCATCTCATGCCATTTAAGTTCGCAGCGCACAAACTGCTGAAAACCAGTCTGCAGAAAGAGAACTGCACAGGTAACACTAGTCTGTCGAACTGACCATGGAACCCAAATACCCTATTTAGGCTCTTTTTTATTGTACTTCAATTTAATTAATAAAACTTTGTTTTTCTGTAAAATATGTTCATTTCAGAAACTAGCTGTTAGTCGTTGGGGGAAGTATATGGTTTAGGGGTGGGGCTATGTCCACTGTGTACATAGGTATGACGTCAAGCTCAGCTGAACTCAGCAATAGTGATCGTGGTGTTCAGCATTAAAAGATATACTTAGCCCAGACATAACTTTGAGGAAATAGAAATAAAAGCGAAACCCTTCTCACCGCCATAAGAAATCTCCGCTCTTAACAGAGCCGAATGTACGATTTCGATTATATCATGAGCAGTGTTTCTGAGTCACTCAAATGGTGGGGACACCAGGTGTTCGAGGAAAGGTGGGTTTATGCTGCCCCAGACGGTGGCGCCTTTCACAAACACATACAAAAGCTGGTATTTTATTCATATGACGTTGATTGTTTTTTAATTTAACGCCAAACTCAGAAATATTGCAGCTCTATATAATGGCGGTATGCAACTAATCGAGTCTGGACCAGACAATCCCGTGATCAATAGCATGGGCATCGATCTACGCAATTGGGATACGATTATATGTGTCAACAACTCAACGAGTCTGACCAGCCGATCCCGTTAGTCGCCTCAAACGACAAGCATGGATTACTGAAGATCAATTCTAACCCGGTCTATTTTATTCATATTAAAAAAAAAACACAAGAAAATATGGCACAAGCCAAATTAGGGAATCGCATGAGACATCATTTGTGTCCTGTGCCTCAGAATGTCTACCACAAAAAGATTCAGAAAGGAAATGATGACCTTTTAGCATATATATAAAAATAGCCTCCGTATACGATAGTATATATATATGTATTTCTTATCGTGTTACTTTCATTTGAGATCAGCCCCATAACACACCCAGAAAGAATAAACATTAAGTGTAAAATGCTAAAGTGTAAAGCACACACAACCGAATGCAGTTGAACGCTAGTCTTCTCTGTATCCCAGGTGATATAAATGAAGTAAACTGTGGTTATGACGAGTAAATGAGTGAGTGAGTTTAAGTTTACGTCGTTTTTAGCAATATTCCAGCAATACCACGGCGGGGGACACCAGAAAAGGTCTTCACACATTATACCTATGTAGGGGAATCGAACCCGGTGTCTTCGGCGTGATGAGCGAACGCTTTAACCACTTGGCTACCCCCGGCCCCGGTCATAACGAACTAAAAGGTCCACTTATATCAGTTCGAAATAAGCGTAGTTCATTAAATACATTCTGGGTAAACTATACATCAAGTGGGTATGGACCATAAACAGTTCGTTATATTCGTCAGTTCATATGTAAAATATGTGTAATGTAACTACTCATTCAGAATGTTGACTTATCATCATCATTATTGATTACTTTGCATTCTGATTATTCAATATTTTCTATACTGATTTTATTAAAGGTACTAGCTTGTTATAGGGGCAGTGGTGGTTAAAGCGTTCGCTCGTCACGACGAAGACCCGGGTTCGATTCCCCACATGAGTACAATGTGTGAAGCCCATTTCTGATGGCCCCCGCCGTGATATTGCTGGAATATTGCTAAAAGCACTGTAAAAACATACTCACTCACTATTGTTTGTTTATACTCGAAAAGGGATTGTATTCTGTCGTTTTTATTTTCCAAATAGTAACCTAAATAGGTAAATGACGGATTAATGTGATTGAACCACTCCACCGACCTCCAGCACAGAAGGTACGGACATTAGTCTCAGTATTCTACTATAGTTATAACATACTACTGACATTTACATTCGCCTTTCATGATAGTGCGTGTGTCGTTATTGGCCCAGCGGGAGACTTATCATAAAATAATGTGACATTTGATATACGTTACAGCCATTGTATAAGTTCTCGAGTTAAAGCCAGGTGTTATGTTCTGAAAAGCAGACCATAGGCTTATCAAAACAGTGAGTAAGTTCTTATTTATTCCAGATAGACCCAACCAGATTTGACCTCTGGCGACCTTTGCGGCATTTAAAAAAAGGCCGCCATTCAAATTTCAATTCGAATAAAAACAGTTCAAATAAAACATTGAATGTGTTTACCTATGCCTTCCATGCTTAATACATTCAGCAAATGCTCGTCATACTTGGCACATGCCAGTACGTTCATATCAGAATTAAATGAAAGCGTTCTTAAGAGCTCACAATTTCTAAGTTCAAATAATTAAGCAGAAGGGTTCAATTTTTTAAACATTTTATGTCATAGTCTGTTTTTCCCAAAATGTGAACAAATTTAGCTATTTTCACAAAGTCCAAATTATCCTGTGTTGCCACGACACGTACTAGTATGTTAACTGACAATAATATTATATGCAAATGGCAGAGATATAACACATATCCTATGTCAGAAGATGGGTCTCCTATTCACTCCGGTCTCAGAAGCCTGGACATAAGCGCTATCTTCAGAATGGGGCGGTGGGGTAGCCTAGTGGTTAAAGTTTCGGCCTGTCACGCCGAAGACCCAGGTTTGATTCACAACAAGGGTACAATGTGTGAAGCCCATTTCTGGTGTCCCCCACCGTGATGTTACTGAAATATTGTTATATATACTTCCCCCTTCTTCATGTTCCATTATGCTTGACAACGGTACAAGAATCTGTATAGAAACGTCGCACTCACGAATAAAAAGAAGTTGTTATCCATAAAGTTTGTTCTATATTGTACTACTTGTACTATTGTACTACTTAGGGAGAAGAAGAAGAGGAAAGGGCCAACAACAACACAATAATAACAACAATCAACGACATAATAATAAGAAGAACATTTCTATATGTCTGTCGGTGTGGTGATAGCTTTACATTATAAACCACGTTAATGAATCAGTGTGCATTCTAATGCCATTCTCTTCTCCACGGGGAGTATCCAACCGGCTTGCTGTGGCATCGTATCCCAACAGTATATCTCGATGCTCATGATATCATGTCTGGTCCAGATATATTGTCGAGTTGATATTAAACAACACACAGAGTTCGGTACAAAAGATGTCCTCTGCATCACCAACAGAACATTGTGTGTGCACGTTTATCCCGAGTTAGATAGTGTATCAACAAATAGTATATCTCCCAGACGTAGAGCCTGTCTTAAAGCAGACTTGGATCGTGATTGACCCTGTGTACAAACATAAATACTAACCTGTATATGATGTGGCGAGAAGAGAAGACAACACGAGGAACACTAACATGAACATCTTTGATACTACAACACAGACCGTCAGCATCCCAACTATTTTCCTTCCTGGGTCAAACATTTCCTTCAGTGGTACTGCATACACTATTGTCTTCATGTCGTATGCGTAACAGTAATCGTTCCTGGCCTGGGCGTGATGAGATCTCATGTGCTTGTCAAACCGGAAATCATGGTCTGTTCGTTGTTTAAGGCTGTGTTATACAAGAACAGCCATGTTAAATTTATTTTCTAAATAATACTTTATTTTGTCAATCATTTTACGCTCTTTTATGGTCGATTTTTCATTTATTAAATGATTCAGTGTCATATGAATATTAGCTATAACTTGAAGCAAGTTAAGCTAATAGTTGGGATTCGAACTCGAGATCAGTGCATCCTGGCAAAAGGGAGGCAACTCTACACGGCGTCATGTATGTCATGATGTACTTTTACATGTCAAATATAAGAAAGACTGGTTGATGCTCCTCTTCACATTATGAAGACATTATGTTTATTTGGAAAAGAATATTAGTCAGATCTGCTCTTCAGACACGATGCTCATGATGTTGATCACGGGATTGTCTGATCCAGACTCAATTATTTACAGACCCCGCCATATAGCTGGAATATTGCTGGGTGCGGTGTAAAACTAAACTCACTCACTCACTCACTTTCAAACATACATTCATGTGTCGATCAGTAGGTATTTCCAGAGGACAGATTATTTTTAGATGTTTGGGAAAAAACCTTCTCCTTTACTTATAATCCATTACTGGAAACTAACAATCCATGAAACGTTTTTGCTTTTATGTATTGACTATAGGCGTACAGCATCAGCTTTGTTAACAAGATGATGTAAAATATGGAATTCAAAGAGTTTGGTTCAATGGTTATAATACTACACTCACACAGCCTCCGAGACCTCTGTGTGAAGTTTATTTTGTTTATGTCCACAACCACAAACCCACAAACACTAATCGAGTCCTCGCATAATGTCGTTAATGGATCTGCATCGGAAGCTAACAACATAAATTGACTAAATAAATATCCCAGCTAAGTTGATACCACAATACAGGCATTACGTCCCGTGTAACTAGTGGAGGAAATGACACCATCAGCTCCTTAAAGACGCATATGAACGGAGGTACTGAGCCACGAGCAGGCCAATTCTACGACACAAGCAGTGAATATCAGCTATGCTTACAAATACTAGTAGGGTGTCGCACAAAGACCAGAAACTGAAACGGATAATCACAAGTAGTATGATTTGTCATCCTAAAGGAAGAGTTTAATATAGAACAATGGACTACGGAAAGTATGCGGGGTTCAAGCAGCCATGGGAACAGTGATCGCTTGTGGTGTTCATTGCTCGCGGGGAAGGTCGGCCATGATCTGGAAAGTTGTTCTTCACTGTGCAATTCTGTGGTTCTATGTATACTTTCAAAGTGTCCAAGGTAAGAATCATATCAGCTCCTTGTTAAGAAATGGAACAAATTTAGCACTTAAAGCAATCAAATTTGGAAAGGTGGACTTATGATCAGTAATCGCTTGTGTTCATTGCTCTTAGGGGCGGTGGGGTAGCCTAGTGGTTGAAGCCTCCGCTCGTCTCGCTGAAGACCCGGGTTCGATTCCCCACCTGTGTGAAGCCCATTTCTGGTGTGATATTGCTGGAATAGTGGAAAAAGCGGCGTAAAACCATACTCACTCACTCACTCATTACTCTCACAGTCGTTCGCGATCAGGAAACGTGTTTTTCATTGTGCGGGCATGTTTTTATCATATTTTCCCAAAGTGCCCACGGTGAGTTTAATGTCAGCCAGTTTTTCACTAAGTACAACATTATAGCACTCACAGCACACACACACACACACACACACTATTATGAGTCTAGCTTGTATATTTTGCAATCCATAATTTATTTAATTATCTACCTAAGTGCGAATACTGGGAATTTCATTAGCAATTTTCATTATAGTGGGTTTTTTATATCTGACTATATCATGTATTAAATTACTACTTCATGTCACAATAATCAAATATAGTTTTGACGAGCATAAATATATGCTTTCGTGATAAACGTTACTAACTTATGTGTTATATGATTAATCCTGATTATTTTTTTATAAACATTACACATTTGATTTTCAAAATATTCATTCGTGCTGGGATTTTAAAACACATGAATAAATCTTATAATAATAATGCTGAAAGTTCGGAAGTTGAGTAATCCAATGACTATACTCATGACGGGTCATATTAAAGTTCACATATAGTCCCATGAAGTGCTTCTTGCTACATAAGGACCAATGTCTACACTGATGAAAAGTTCAGCTCGGCTGTTATTTCTCTGGTATCAAGTTACCGACAGGGCGGTGCGCAGTTCATTTCCTGGTCCGCTTGGTCGTATGAACTAACGGCAAGCTGCAGTACTTATTAGGGTGCATATATAGTGTTGGAAATTAAACACAAAACTCCAAACCAGCCACAATTACATGTGTACAGTACAGTGTTGTGATGCTTGATGGTCAAATTCTGATAAATATTTGTCATCCAGAAGTGAGTAAGTGAGTATGGTTTTATGCCGCCAATATTCAAGCAATACCACTGCAGGGGGCATCCAAAATGGGCTTCACACATTGTATCCATGTAGGGAATCGAACTGGGTCTTCGGTGTGACAAGCGAACGCTTTAAGTATTGATTGTTAATCCCCATGAATAGTGCAAGGTGTTAAAACTGAAACCCTTGAGTCAGCATTTGCATATTGCAAAATATGTAAAACATTTCTCACGTATGATAAATTGAGCAAATTTTCTAGGCAGTCGTTAAAGTATACTGCTGAAAATATATTTAAAAAATACACTTTTTATGAACATATTCGATCCGCCATGATGTGAAAAGAAGTTCAACAACACCGCATATTTTCATATGGCTATAGTTAATGTGTCATGACATAAAATGTTATAGAAAACCTTTATGATGTCATGATATAACATTTTACCATGGTTATAAAAATAATCTAGTATGACAGATAGCTATAGTCATAAATATGATCTGGTATGATACATTACTATTACTAAGTCAGATCACGATAATCATCGTTATAACCCGGTATGACATATTACTATAGTCTTAATAAATATATGTTATGACAGATAATTATTGTCATAATACTATTCTAGTATGACAGATTACTATAGGCTCAATAAAAATCTGGTATGACAGATACTTCTTGTCATAATTATATCACGGTATGATAGATAACGTTGATCATAATACTAATCTGGTGTGACATATTACTATAGTCAAAATACTAATCTGGTGTGACATATAGTCATAATACTATAGTCAAAATACTAATCTGGTGTGACATATTACTATAGTCATAATACTAATCTAGTGTGACATATTACTATAGTCAAAATACTAATCTGGTGTGACATATTACTATAGTCATAATACTAATCTGGTGTGACATATAGTCAAAATACTAATCTGGTGTGACATATTACTATAGTCATAATACTAATCTTGGTGTGACAGATAACTATAGTCATAATACTAATCTGGTGTGACATATTACTATAGTCATAATACTAATCTGGTGTGACATATTACTATAGTCATAATACTAATCTTGGTGTGACAGATAACTATAGTCATAATACTAATCTGGTGTGACATATAACTATAGTCATAATACTAATCTGGTGTGACATATAGTCATAATACTATCTGGTGTGACATATTACTATAGTCATAATACTAATCTAGTGTGACAGATAACTATAGTCATAATACTAATCTTGGTGTGACAGATAACTATAGTCATAATACTAATCTGGTGTGACAGATAACTATAGTCATAATACTAATCTAGTGTGACAGATAACTATAGTCATAATACTAATCTTGTGATGATAGATAACTATAGTCATAATACTAATCTAGTGTGACATATAACTATAGTCATAATACTAATCTGGTGTGACATATAGTCATAATACTATCTGGTGTGACATATTACTATAGTCATAATACTAATCTAGTGTGACATATTACTATAGTCATAATACTAATCTTGGTGTGACAGATAACTATAGTCATAATACTAATCTAGTGTGACATATTACTATAGTCATAATACTAATCTTGGTGTGACAGATAACTATAGTCATAATACTAATCTAGTGTGACATATAACTATAGTCATAATACTAATCTGGTGTGACATATTACTATAGTCATAATACTAATCTTGTGACATATGTGACAGATAACTATAGTCATAATACTAATCTAGTGTGACATATAACTATAGTCATAATACTAATCTGGTGTGACATATTACTATAGTCATAATACTAATCTGGTGTGACATATTACTATAGTCATAATACTAATCTAGTGTGACATATTACTATAGTCATAATACTAATCTTGGTGTGACAGATAACTATAGTCATAATACTAATCTAGTGTGACATATAACTATAGTCATAATACTAATCTGGTGTGACATATAGTCATAATACTATCTGGTGTGACATATTACTATAGTCATAATACTAATCTAGTGTGACATATTACTATAGTCATAATACTAATCTTGGTGTGACAGATAACTATAGTCATAATACTAATCTAGTGTGACATATTACTATAGTCATAATACTAATCTGGTGTGACAGATTACTATAGTCATAATACTAAAATCTGGTATTCCTAAACCCCTTTTGAGTAGTCTACATATACGCAAGTTTAAAAAAAATGAAATCTCAAGAAGGTAAGCGTTCATGTTTATGGAAATTTCAATCAATTCAAGAACGTCCGATTCTTTTCTATGGCTGCTCATTCGCTAAAGTCTACTTGAAGTCAATCCGTCATTTTATTGAAGAATTCTAACAATTACTATTTGAGGAATATGATTTAGTTAATTGAGTTGCTTTAGCCTTCTGGTTTTAACTGGTGAGAGTTACATTTGGTTAAATTGTACACAACTGTAGTTATTCGTGAATGGCAACATGTTCACTACGTGGGAACCAGTTGTGGGCTAATTAGTTGGTTATCTCGGGCCTTTGGTGATAAAGAAAAATACTCAAGAGGCTGGAAATGCTTATGGCACACTGCACATACTCACGACGAATTGGAAACACTTCAAAAACCCATTGAGTTGAAAAAGAAGCGCACATGCCAACGAATGGTTGGTAGAGGGGAATCAGCCTTCGGAGAAAATACCCTCCAAAATTAGACAATATATTGTAAATTCTGTTATCTAATTAGTGTTGACTATTTAGATCAGTACAACTGTTGCAAAAGTCGATTTTCTTTCCATTGTCAAACATCAGGTCAAAGCGTAACAAGGTTTAAGGTTTCGTGGAATTATTCTTCGGATGCCAAGCTACGAATATAATAACTCTGATGTGTTTAAGGACCCGTGAAGGTCCGGGTTAGAATATTGATCTTCAGTAACCCATGCTTGTCGTAAGAGGCGACTAACGGGATCGGGTGGTCAGGCTCGCTGACTTGGTTGACCCATGTCATCGGTTCCCAATTGCGCAGATCGATGTTCATGCTGCTGATCACTGGATTGTCTGGTCCACACTAGATTATTTACAGACCGCCGCCATATAGCTGGTATATTGCTGTGTGCGGCGTAAACCTATACTCACTCACTCACTGATGTGTTTAAGATTTTGCTTCACATTACATCGTTACATGTCATGCTTAATAGAAGTGCCCAAACCTTTTTTTTCTACATCCACAAGAAATTTCTGCTAAAAGCAGAGTCGATTGAAACGGGATATCCTGATAGAATGCCTCCCTATCAACAGGAAGTAGGTTAAAATGGATGGATGACTGAGTAAACTCTTCAACTCAAACAGCGAGAAAATACTAATTTTGTGACGATAGAAATCCTACTGTTATGGTGTTACAAATTATGTTTATCTAGATTTTTTAAAACAGAGTATAAATATTTGATGCGTTTATTTCACAAATGCAAAATAATACGGCTATTCACAGTTGAAGACACACACACGTTGATGTGAAAAAAACCATATTATATATCATTGTCGCATGATTACGAATCCTCATTAACGGCGTTTTTCGTACTTCCGTACTGTTGTATTTTCCAATTAAGGGCAGTGCATATTATATATACAAATTAACAACAGTGCATGTTGTATACACCAGTTAACAGCAGTGCATATTGTATATACCAGTTAACAGCACTGCATGTTGTATACACCAGTTAACAGCTGTGCATATTGTATATACCAGCTAACAGCACTGCATGTTGTATACACCAGTTAACAGCAGTGCATGTTGTATATACCAACTGACGGCAGTGCATATGATATATACAAATTAACAGCCGTGCATGTTGTATATACCAGTTAACAGCAGTGCATATTGTATATACCAATTATCGGCAGTGCATATTATATATACCAATTAACAGCCGTGCATGTTGTATATACAAGTTAACAGCAGTGAATATTGTACATACCAATTAACGGCAGTGCATATTGTATATACCAATTAACAGCCGTGCATGTTGTATATACAAGTTAATAGCAGTGTATATTGTATATACCAATTAATGGCAGTGCATGCTGTATATACCAATTATTGGCAGTACATATTATGTATACAAGTTAGCAGCAGTGCATGTTGTATATACAAATTAATAGCAGTGCATGTTTCACATACCAATTAACGGCATTGTATGTTGTATATACCAATTAACGGCTGTGCTTATTTTATGTACAAATTAACAGCTGTGCATGTTGTATATACAAGTTAACAGCAGTGTATATTGTATATACCAATTAACGGCAGTGCATGTTGTATATACCAGTTAACAGCAGTGCATGTTGTATATACCATTTAATGACAGTGCATGCTGTATATACCAATTATTGGCAGTACATATTATGTATACAAGTTAGCAGCAGTGCATGTTGTCTATACCACTTAACAGCAGTGCACATTGCATATACGAGTTAACAGCAGTGCATATTGTCTATGCCACTTAAAAGCAGTGTATATTGTATACACCAGTTAACAGCAGTGCATGTTGTATACACCAATTAACAGCACTTCATGTTGTATATACCAGTTAACAACAGTGCATATTGTCAATTAATCGCAGTGCATATTATATATACAAGTTAACAGCTGTGTGTGTTGTATATACCAGTTAACACCAGTGCATATTGTATTTACCAACTTAACAGCAGTTGTATTGTCTACACCAGCTATCAGCAGTAACTTTCATACAGAGCATTTACAACAGTGCATATTGTGTATAGCAGTTATCAACAGTAATTGTTGTATACGTAACAGTTAACAGTATTGCATATTGTACATAGGAGTTAACAACAGTGCATGTTGTGTACAACAGTTAACAACAGTGCATGTTGTGTATATAACAGTTAACATCAGTAATTGTTGTATATAGAACAGTTAACGACAGTGCATGTTGTGTATATAACAGTTAACATCAGTAATTGTTGTATATAGAACAGTCAACAACAGTGCATTTTGTGTATAACAGTTAACATCCGTAATTGTTGTATATAGAACAGTTAACAACAGTGCATGTTGTGTATATAACAGTTAACATCCGTAATTGTTGTATATAGAACAGTTAACAACAGTGCATGTTGTGTATAACAGTTAACATCAGTAATTGTTGTATATAGAACAGTTAACAACAGTGCATTTTGTGTATAACAGTTAACATCAGTAATTGTTGTATATAGAACAGTTAACAACAGTGCATGTTGTGTATATAACAGTTAACATCCGTAATTGTTGTATATAGAACAGTTAACAGCAGTGCATGTTGTGTATAACAATTGACATCAGGAATTGTTGTATATAGAACAGTTAACAACAGTGCATGTTGTGTATAACAGTTAACATCAGTAATTGTTGTATATAGAACAGTTAACAACAGTGCATGTTGTGTATATAACAGTTAACATAAGTAATTGTTGTATATAGAACAGTTAACAACAGTGCATGTTGTGTTTAACAGTTGACATTAGTAATTGTTGTATATAGAACAGTTAACAACAGTGCATGTTGTGTATAACAGTTAACATTAGTAATTGTTGTATATAGAACAGTTAACAACAGTGCATGTTGTGTATAACAGTTAACATCAGTAATTGTTGTTTATAGAACAGTTAACAACAGTGCATGTTGTGTATAACAGTTAACAACAGTGCATGTTGTGTATATAACAGTTAACAACAGTGTATGTTGTGTATATAACAGTTAACAACAGTCCATGCTTTTGTATAGCAGTTGACTGCAGTGTATGTTATGTAACAATTAACATTAGCAATTGTTGTATACAGAGCAGTTAACAATAGTGCATGTCGCTAATAGCAGTGCATGTACTAGAGGCGCCGCACCCGTGAAGATCCGGGTTAGAATTGATCTTCAGTAACCCATGCTTGTCGTAAGAGGCGACTAACGGGATCGGGTGGTCAGGCTTGCTGACTTGGTTGACACATGTCATCGTATCCCAATTGTGTAGATCGATGCTCATGCTGTTGATCACTGGATGTTCTGGTGCAGATTCGATTATTTACAGACCACCGCCTTATGGCTGGAATATTGCTGAGTGCGGCGTTAAACAAACAGACCAATCAACTAGAAGTGCCGTCATTGTGTTCATTGTCATACATCACTTTGCGTCAGCATCTACGTCATCATCGTCGTGGCTGTCGCTGGCGCCGTTATCTGCAAACATGACGTCATATCAGTGTTGTGAAAGTGAAACAGGCTGTGGTCTCTTCCAGCTAAAACAACCAGAGTCAACATGTGCAAGAGAAACATCATGATTCGAAAGCACATTCATCTTTTCCACAACATCAGCTACCTCGACCTTCAGAGCCATGACGTCACATGTCAGTGTGACCTGTATACGCCGCCCTTCAAAGGCTGCGTCAATTTGAAAGTACAAAGTATAGAAGCTCTCGACCAGCTCCGTGACTGCCAAAAACCCCGGGGTTCTGTGTTTTCTATAGACAACAGCTCGTGCGTTATACAATACAGGGTGAACGAGGCGCACGAGGACTGCACACACAACGTCACAGTCATGATGGCGCCGAGCAAAACACTACATGAGCCAGTGAAAGACTGGCTGAATATTACAGGTAGATATTAAATATCAATTAACTGAAGTTTATGGACAAACATAGACGGCTGATGATACAGACATTCCCTCGGGACTTCTTAATCATACATTAGCAAAGCGTAATCTGACGTACGAATGTTCCGGGCGCAATGTTTGTAAAACGTTTATCGTTGCTACTGGTATTGCAGGAGATAAATTGGCGATTTCCGAGCTTTCAAGTTGGAGTCTTTGAACAGCTTTTGGAACTGAAAGTAGTGTTCCTCAAAATAAAGAAGTTGACATCCATAAATTCATCCATAGTCATCCCACTTTCAAATTGGTCGTCGGAACAGTTGCAATCTTTATATACATAGTTAATTCAATTCACAAAAGATACATTTTGAAAACAATGCTAATTGTGCAATGAACTTAGAATACATGTATGCCACTTTTTTACTGGAATTGAATAAGATACTTGGGAGATTTCCGAACCTTCAAGTTGGACTTCAGGAGTTATTCAGGAAATATTTACATACAAAGTTCACTTCACAAAAGATACATTTGGAAAACAGCGCTAATTCTCTATAGAATTTGAAATACAGTTACGGCACCTGACGTTTCGTTGTAATTGCTGGTAGTGATTGTGCAGGGATTCATATATCATCTCCATGCCGCCGCCATATAGTTGGAATATTGATGTGCGGCGTAAAACTAAACTCACTCACTCACTCATCTCCATGCCAGGTTGTATAAATGAACTGATGCTATTTAGATTCTTGAATTGTCTGGTTTGAGGTCCCAGTGATACATAGTAACATCGACACTGATATGTAATATTCTGGAACAGGTTTCAGTATTATATTATTCTTTTCTGTTTTACTATAGAAATCATTATGCATGTTCTGGTTAAATGTTCAGGAAGAAATGTTTAATGTAATTATATTTTGTATGAAGGTCACGGTTTGTTCGTTATATCAAGGCATATAAAGACTAATGTCGGATTTACCATTGGTGCAGGTCTGAGACGAATTCAATGTGTGGTTGTAATATTACACATGTTATATTTGGGATTATGATTTCTCAATAAGGTACAGATTCTAGAACTTTAGTGGGGTTGAGCCCCATCCGAGATTCGAACCCACACCCTCAGAGTCAGGCACCTAGTCGCCGGCACACAAAGTCAGCGATCTAACCCACCGAGCCGTTGCAGCTTCCACGTTCCAGGGGTGTGAATCCACACCCGAAAAGTATACTAATCTGTATTTTACTGAGAAAGTGTAATCCCAAGTATACCGTCTTACATTTGACCACTATCTAAATGGCACTGTGTATTCATGAATATGATAATTATAAAATGTTCTCATTCTGCTTCATATACGGCGCCCAGCTACGGACGAAAGTGGTGTTTACATCAACTGCAAAATGACTGGTTCCGTAACAACAGGCAACTATCCGACAGGGATTACTCAATACCCAACCACGTCAGATTATGTAGACAATGGACAGGGTGAAGGCAAGTGGCTGCTTATTACCAAACGTACTCAGCGTAAACATAACTAAAAGCGTCCTTACCATTATGACAGGCCTGATTCGCTAAGTCAGTATGAAACCCGAATTACACTGCATTTAACACTTGCACCTCTTTGATTGACACTACTTGTAACTGGCTACAATGTTGGATGTAGCCTTGCTAACAAACTTAAAGAACCGACAGAAACATGATTGAATATTTTAATATTCTTTTTGTAGAGTATGCAACAGATCCCGCGGACAATTCTTCTCTGTGTTGGAATTGTACAACCCCGTCCTCTAGTAATGTCCGTCGTATCAAGCCCTCTGAGAGTAAGTTTATAAAACTATGTTCACTCTCTGAGTTAACAGACATACATGTAACTCCTCTTATCAACTATAAGCCTGGTCGTCTAAATTGCTGTCATTCACTGTCCAGAGTTACCTCCCTTTGTGCTGCCAGATTCAAATGATCCTTATCTTGGTTTGAAAGCAAGGTACCAAGACAAATTTGGTTTAGCCAAAATAACGTCTAAAGCCTTAATCACAATATTCGCTTTTTGTCACGATAAACAGACACCCGGTGGTGTAATTGAAATTCAACCACAGGGAAATAATATAGGTCCCCACTACATCGTGTTTGTCAGAGCTCACTTGGTGATCATCTTTATAAGCCTTTGGATAGAGTAAACGATACTATAGCTGGTTTCAGGAAGTGTGCAACTGTGAGATGGTGCGTGAGGTTAATTTTGAGTCATTGAAGGGAGTTTCAAGTTCCTGTTGGTGTTTGGAGGGCGACTACCACCTCCGTATTTCCTTGTCGGCAAGTTCATGTTTGTACAGATAACGACTGATAAAAATGATTCCGGACATGCCATAAATGTTCACTGCCCAGTCGTTTCTCTCTGACCTTGGATAAAGTGAGTCTGTGGTAAACATTCTGAACTCTGTGTTGTAGATGTCGAGTATATTATAACCGTACTGCAGTGTAATCTGTAGGAATGTTTGCTTGTTCTTTAACGCGACAAAGATCCAGCGTTATGAATGAGTGATTACGGAATTACGCCGCTTTAAGCAATATTCCAGCAGTATCGCGGATTCGTAAACAAACGCATTGTACCCAGCTGGTGTACAAATCCAGGGTTCGAATGAACACCTGGCCCGACCTGCGAACGCTTTAACCACTGGGTTACCCCTCAGACCCGCATTTATGACGTCTACTTGTAAATAATCAAATCTGACCCAGACAAACCAGTGATGAATATAATGAGCAACGATCGACTCCTTCATGGCACGATGACATGCTATCAACTCAGGACAATTTGATCTTCTTTAGTTGCCTCTTACATTAGGTTGATGGGAACCTGTCCTACCCACTTGCATTATCGAGAGGGGACTTTGACCCACATGGGTTGAATATAAACGACCTATCGAATTTAAATGACATTCACTGAATCCTTTCTCTGAGCAGGTCTCCTAATCATAAGACGACTTCTTTATGCATGTGTATGTTTCTAAACGTGCAGCACCACATCACCTTTGTTCGTGTTGTCTACGCATTTTTCATGCCCACGCATCTGAAACCCGATTGTACGTAAATGTAGTGAAATTTACTATATGTGTAAGTACATATTATTAACTAAAAATGTGTTATGTATTTTCCCAGTCGCAGATCAGATAGACATCATCCTGGCTGTCGCTGCTGGTTTTGTGGCAGTGTTCTTGGTGATAGCGTTCATCTGTCTGTGTAGAAGGTAAGTCAGTAACAAGACAGTGTTCCAGTTGTGTTCCTGGTCATAGCGTTCATCTCTCTGTGTAGAAGGTGAGTCAGTAACAACACACTGTTCCAGTTGTGTTTCTGGTGATAGCGTTCATCTGTCTGTGTAGAAGGTGAGTCAGTAACAACACACTGTTCCAGTTGTGTTTCTGGTGATAGCGTTCATCTGTCTGTGTAGAAGGTGAGTCAGTAACAACACACTGTTACAGTTGGGTTCGTGGTGATAGCGTTCATCTGTCTGTGTAGAAGGTAAGTCAGTAACAAGACAGTGTTCCAGTTGTGTTCGTGGTGATAGCGTTCATCTGTCTGTGTAGAAGGTGAGTCAGTAACAACACACTGTTCCAGTTGTGTTCGTGGTGATAGCGTTCATCTGTCTGTGTAGAAGGTGAGTCAGTAACAACACACTGTTACAGTTGTGTTCGTGGTGATAGCGTTCATCTGTCTGTGTAGAAGGTAAGTCAGTAACAAGACAGTGTTCCAGTTGTGTTCCTGGTGATAGCGTTCATCTGTCTGGTTTAGAAGGTAAGTCAGTAACAAGACAGTGTTCCAGTTATGTTTCTGGCGATAGCGTTCATCTGTCTGTGTAGAAGGTAAGTCAGTAACAAGACAGTGTTCAAGTTGTGTTCCTGGTGATAGCGTTCATCTGTCTGGTTTAGAAGGTTAGTCAGTAAGAAGACAGTGTTCCAGTTGTGTTTCTGGTGATAGCGTTCATCTGTCTGTGTAGAAGGTGAGTCAGTAACAACACACTGTTCCAGTTGTGTTTCTGGTGATAGCGTTCATCTGTCTGTGTAGAATGTGAGTCAGTAACAAGACACTGTTCCAGTTGTGTTTCTGGTGATAGCGTTCATCTGTCTGTGTAGAAGGTGAGTCAGTAACAAGACAGTGTTCCAGTTGTGTTCGTGGTGATAGCGTTCATCTGTCTGTGTAGAAGGTAAGTCAGTAACAAGACAGTGTTCCAGTTGTGTTCGTGGTGATAGCGTTCATCTGTCTGTGTAGAAGGTGTGTCAGTAACAACACACTGTTTCAGTTGTGTTCCTGGTGATAGCGTTCATCTGTATGTGTAGAAGGTGAGTCAGTAACAAGACAGTGTTCCAGTTGTGTTCGTGGTGATAGCGTTCATCTGTCTGTGTAGAAGGTAAGTCAGTAACAACACACTGTTTCAGTTATGTTCCTGGTGATAGCGTTCATCTGTCTGTGTAGAAGGTAAGTCAGTAACAAGACAGTGTTCGAGTTGTGTTCCTGGTGATAGCGTTCATCTGTCAGTGTAGAAGGTGAGTCAGTAACAACACACTGTTTCAGTTATGTTCCTCGTGATAGCGTTCATCTGTCTGTGTAGAAGGTGAGTCAGTAACAAGACAGTGTTCCAGTTGTGTTCGTTGTCATAGCGTTCATCTCTGGGTGAGGGTGAGTCAATAACAAGACACTGTTCAAGTTATGTTTCTGGTGAGAGCGTTCATCTGCCTGTGTAGAAGGTGAGTCGGTAACAACACACTGTTCTAGTTCTGTTCCTGGTGATAGCGTTCATCTGTCTGTGTAGAAGGTGAGTCAGTAACAAGACACTGTTTCAGTTGTGTTCCTGGTCATAGCGTTCATCTGTCTGTGTAGAAGGTGAGTCAGTAACAAGACACTGTTTCAGTTGTGTTCCTGGTGATAGCGTTCATCTGTATGTGTAGAAGGTGAGTCAGTAACAAGACACTGTTTCAGTTATGTTCCTGGTGATAGCGTTCATCTGTCTGTGTAGAAGGTGAGTCAGTAACAACACACTGTTACAGCTGTGTTCGTGGTGATAGCGTTCATCTGTCTGTGTAGAAGGTAAGTCAGTAACAAGACAGTGTTCCAGTTGTGTTCGTGGTGATAGCGTTCATCTGTCTGTGTAGAAGGTACGTCAGTAACAAGACAGTGTTCTAGTTGTGTTCCTGGTGATAGCGTTCATCTGTCTGTGTAGAAGGTGAGTCAGTAACAACACACTGTTCCAGTTGTGTTTCTGGTGATAGCGTTCATCTGTCTGTGTAGAATGTGAGTCAGTAACAAGACACTGTTCCAGTTGTGTTTCTGGTGATAGCGTTCATCTGTCTGTGTAGAAGGTGAGTCAGTAACAAGACAGTGTTCCAGTTGTGTTCGTGGTGATAGCGTTCATCTGTCTGTGTAGAAGGTAAGTCAGTAACAAGACAGTGTTCCAGTTGTGTTCGTGGTGATAGCGTTCATCTGTCTGTGTAGAAGGTAAGTCAGTAACAACACAGTGTTTCAGTTGTGTTCCTGGTGATAGCGTTCATCTGTCTGTGTAGAAGGTGAGTCAGTAACAAGACAGTGTTCCAGTTGTGTTCGTGGTGATAGCGTTCATCTGTCTGTGTAGAAGGTAAGTCAGTAACAACACACTGTTTCAGTTATGTTCCTGGTGATAGCGTTCATCTGTCTGTGTAGAAGGTAAGTCAGTAACAAGACAGTGTTCGAGTTGTGTTCCTGGTGATAGCGTTCATCTGTCAGTGTAGAAGGTGAGTCAGTAACAACACACTGTTTCAGTTATGTTCCTCGTGATAGCGTTCATCTGTCTGTGTAAAAGGTGAGTCAGTAACAAGACAGTGTTCCAGTTGTGTTCGTTGTCATAGCGTTCATCTCTCTGGGTGGAGGGTGAGTCAATAACAAGACACTGTTCAAGTTATGTTTCTGGTGAGAGCGTTCATCTGCCTGTGTAGAAGGTGAGTCGGTAACAACACACTGTTCTAGTTCTGTTCCTGGTGATAGCGTTCATCTGTCTGTGTAGAAGGTGAGTCAGTAACAAGACACTGTTTCAGTTGTGTTCCTGGTCATAGCGTTCATCTGTCTGTGTAGAAGGTGAGTCAGTAACAAGACACTGTTTCAGTTGTGTTCCTGGTGATAGCGTTCATCTGTATGTGTAGAAGGTGAGTCAGTAACAAGACACTGTTTCAGTTATGTTCCTGGTGATAGCGTTCATCTGTCTGTGTAGAAGGTGAGTCAGTAACAACACACTGTTACAGCTGTGTTCGTGGTGATAGCGTTCATCCGTCTGTGTAGAAGGTAAGTCAGTAACAAGACAGTGTTCCAGTTGTGTTCGTGGTGATAGCGTTCATCTGTCTGTGTAGAAGGTACGTCAGTAACAAGACAGTGTTCTAGTTGTGTTCCTGGTCATAGCGTTCATCTGTCTGTGTAGAAGGTAAGTCAGTAACAAGACAGTGTTCCAGTTGTGTTCGTGGTGATAGCGTTCATCTGTCTGTGTAGAAGGTGAGTCAGTAACAAGACACTGTTTCAGTTGTGTTCGTGGTGATAGCGTTCATCTCTCTGTGTAGAAGGTGAGTCAGTAACAAGACACTGTTTCAGTTATGTTCGTGGTGATAGCGTTCATCTGTCTGTGTAGAAGGTTAGTCAGTAACAACACACTGTTTCAGTTGTGTTCGTGGTGATAGCGTTCATCTGTCTGTGTAGAAGGTGTGTCAGTAACAACACACTGTTTCAGTTGTGTTCCTGGTGATAGCGTTCATCTGTATGTGTAGAAGGTGAGTCAGTAACAAGACAGTGTTCCAGTTGTGTTCGTGGTGATAGCGTTCATCTGTCTGTGTAGAAGGTAAGTCAGTAACAACACACTGTTTCAGTTATGTTCCTGGTGATAGCGTTCATCTGTCTGTGTAGAAGGTAAGTCAGTAACAAGACAGTGTTCGAGTTGTGTTCCTGGTGATAGCGTTCATCTGTCAGTGTAGAAGGTGAGTCAGTAACAACACACCGTTTCCAGTTATGTTCCTCGTGATAGCGTTCATCTGTATGTGTAGAAGGTGAGTCAGTAACAAGACAGTGTTCCAGTTGTGTTCGTTGTCATAGCGTTCATCTCTCTGGGTGGAGGGTGAGTCAATAACAAGACACTGTTCAAGTTATGTTTCTGGTGAGAGCGTTCATCTGCCTGTGTAGAAGGTGAGTCGGTAACAACACACTGTTCTAGTTCTGTTCCTGGTGATAGCGTTCATCTGTCTGTGTAGAAGGTGAGTCAGTAACAAGACACTGTTTCAGTTGTGTTCCTGGTCATAGCGTTCATCTGTCTGTGTAGAAGGTGAGTCAGTAACAAGACACTGTTTCAGTTGTGTTCCTGGTGATAGCGTTCATCTGTATGTGTAGAAGGTGAGTCAGTAACAAGACACTGTTTCAGTTATGTTCCTGGTGATAGCGTTCATCTGTCTGTGTAGAAGGTGAGTCAGTAACAACACACTGTTACAGCTGTGTTCCTGGTGATAGCGTTCATCTGTCTGTGTAGAAGGTAAGTCAGTAACAAGACAGTGTTCCAGTTGTGTTCGTGGTGATAGCGTTCATCTGTCTGTGTAGAAGGTACGTCAGTAACAAGACAGTGTTCTAGTTGTGTTCCTGGTCATAGCGTTCATCTGTCTGTGTAGAAGGTAAGTCAGTAACAACACACTGTTCCAGTTGTGTTCGTGGTGATAGCGTTCATCTGTCTGTGTAGAAGGTGAGTCAGTAACAAGACACTGTTTCAGTTGTGTTCGTGGTGATAGCGTTCATCTGTCTGTGTAGAAGGTGAGTCAGTAACAAGACACTGTTTCAGTTATGTTCGTGGTGATAGCGTTCATCTGTCTGTGTAGAAGGTTAGTCAGTAACAAGACACTGTTCCAGTTGTGTTCGTGGTGATAGCGTTCATCTGTCTGTGTAGAAGGTGAGTCAGTAACAAGACACTGTTTCAGTTGTGTTCCTGGTGATAGCGTTCATCTGTCTGTGTAGAAGGTAAGTCAGTAATAGATGTATTTATCGATTGATCGCAAAGGTGGTCTACCAGATATACACGCACCTTTTAGAATTTTATCATTCATTCGCTTGTGTGAGATCATATGATATTGAAGTCGTGCTTGGCTTACGGCCAAGGTACTTCGTACCTAGAATTGGGGAATTAGCCGGGAGGGATCTCCACACCTTAATACAAACAGAAGGGTTCCAGGGTCAGACTCTTTTATTAATATATGGATTCAATGTCATACAAAATCATTCAACCACAATGATATAAATGTCATTGATGCACATGAGAAGGGTAGAATAAACATATAAACATTACTATATAAAAAAACATTATCATTTAAGTTATACTCAATGCAAGGTACCTCTACCGTAACGAAGGTGTAATACAAACATTTATATAGTTATAGTTAACAACTGCACGTCTGTACTAGAAATAATAAAAGCCTAACTTGTAAACCACGCCTGTGATACTTAGCCGAATTGTATGTTTAAGTTATAACTAGAGTAATCTTACAAAGTGTTGGATACAGAACTACCGTAGTAAATGATACCAAGTTACATATATCATAACAGCACGGCCAAGGTACAAGTTTAGAACATAGATTTGATAACGTGTAGAACTAGGTTCATTGTTCAAGTAAGGCACATTGTAAGCAAAAATATGAAAACAGCAAAGTAATAAGTAACTATGGCTTACCTTAATACAAGCAGAAGGGTTCCAGGGTCAGACTGATGTATGTGTCAGACCCTGGTGCTTATATAGCTGGACCCTCTGCTTGTATGATATAACCAATTTCCCAAATATGGAGGTGACGCTATACCTCTCTTTTGAAGAGTTGTGGCTTCGCAATATTGCTCAATTTTGGCAGATGGCTTAAGAGATTATAATTGCCTTGGCCGTGTGTTATCGGAAAAGTTGAGTAATAACCAGTAATGTACGTGGTTAAGCATACACATCTACGTCTGTCTAATTTTACAGTGTGTACAGGCGTGAATATTTGACCATTAAGTTGTGGCCGGAGCGGTCACTACAAACACTGGAGGGTATATTCAATTAGGCTCTTAGCGGCATGGGCGATAACGGCGGCATAGACAGCTGTCAGTTACGCAAGTTGCCGATAACCAGTCTCTTACATCGTGGATACTTTAACAAAGTGTGAGAGATATTAAATTGACAATGTTTAGAAATATCTGAATAAGTTTAGGTAAAAATATATACATTTTGCAACTGCTATAATATTTCCTAGGAGATATCGTTTTGACAGTAGATTTTGTACAATGCCCTGACAATGCTGTGACGCCATCAACTTGATGACGTCACAACGCTATGACATCGCTGCACATGTACATCGCTCCTGATGTACATTTGTCATTGAAAACTAATGAAGAATGATTTTTGATGATAAATAGAATCTCACCCTCGTGTCTACTGATATCAATTATATCAACACTCGTTGATAAAGGTAAAAATATCCTCGGCAAGCCTCGGATATGTGTAACTTTATCAACTCTTGTTGATATAATTGATATCAGTAGACACTTGGGTAAGATTCTGTATATATAACAATAATGATGATTATTATTGATGTCCTTGTTATCAACATTATTATTCGTGTACTATAATAGCCCGTCCTCACTGAGGGATTAAGGACGTGCATTATATTGTCCTAATCCAATTGACATTTTTAACAAACGTTTTAGAAGTTGGGAGTATAATACTGACGAACCTTTTAGATAACAACTTCTTTTATTTCGTGAGTGCGACATTTCGATACGCCCTATTATAGCTTTGTAAAGGAGGAATGCTCACGAAATAAAAGAAGTTGTCATCATTAAATTTGTCAGTATTATACTTCCACCTTCTAAGATGTCACTCAAAAAACAACTTGACATTTTATGATCATTCTTTTCACATCCGGTTTGGACACACAGTCTCAGTTTCGAACATTGCACAAATGTTAACGCCATCTTGAAACTAGGTTCTTGACCGCGGACCTATTCACCCCATACAACACATACGTGAAACAGATGGCATACTTTGGGTAGACAGATTAAACAATGATGTCAAATGTGAGCATAGGCTTTTGTAACAGATACAAGGGTAGCTTAACACCACTTCAGTAGATACGTTTAGATTACGATGACCTTACACCAGGAAGAAAGCTGTCTGTGAATCTGACAACGACAGCAGATGTAGTTGGTTAAGTGTTGTCTTCCCCGTGTTTTTGTGTTCGTGAAGCATGCATGAGTCAGTGCACTGTGAGAACACGGCTTTGGTTCCCCTGCTCGCGTTAATACCACGTGACTCGCGTGTCACACTAACACAGGAAGTATACACTGCATACTGGAAGTGGCTCTGGTCTACTTGAAACTGAGAGCAGAGCCCATATACCAGATAATGATAATATTTTAACCCTTGCCGAGTTATTTCCAAATAGGGGCGGTGGGGTAGCCTAGTGGTTAAAGCGTCCGCCCGTCACGCCGAAGACCTGAGTTCGATTCCCCACATGGGTACAATGTGTGACATGGGCGGATCCAGGAATTTTGAAAGGAATGGGTTCAGGGGGTCTGAACCCCCTGAGCCCCCAATTGGCTCCGCCAACACAAACAAAAAATCTTCAACGTGATCTTAGTCATTTTAAAAAAAGGGGGGCTCGAACCCCCCTGAAACAACCCCCCACCCAACCCCTCTGGATCCGCCACTGTGTGAAGCCCATTTCTGGTGTCCCCGCCGTGATATTGCTGGAATATTGCCAAAAGCGGCGTAAAACTAAACTCACACACTCACTATACTAACGTCAGTGTTTTGTGTGTACCTCGCATTGCCCATGTTTGGTAACCATACAAGTAGAAGACAAACATGTGAAATAATAACATTTTTTGTTTAAAATATCAGTTGCAGAAAAAAGGATGTGTTGGAAATATTCCCACCTCGACCCCAGCTGTGCAACTCGCCAGTCAAGAAAGAGAGCGTTGAAGACTCCACCATATGCGACAGCGTCTTTGTGGAAACATGTTCAACAGAGAATGTGTTTGTGGAAGCGTGCTCAACCGAGAACGTTTTTGTGGAAACGTGTCAGGCGGAAATTAAGAAAGAGGACGGCAAATGTACAGCATCCAACAACGTCGATGACGGAAATTCTCAGCGATATGTGAAGTTTGTGAGACGAACGTCTGATGACTGCTACGATAACGTTGGTTTTAACTCCTAAACTGGGCTGTGCATATTTGAACGATGAGAGATTTGCGTCCTTGTATTCGGGTTATGCGGGGGGCGGTGTGGTAGCCTAGTGGTTAAAGCGTTTGCTCGTCACGCTGAAGACCCGGGTTCGATTCCCCACAAGGGTACAATGTGTGAAGCCCATTTTTGGTGTCCCCCGCCGTGATATTGCTGGAATATTGCTAAAAGCGGCGTAAAACTAAACTCACTCCCGGTTATGCAGGACACAACTCGCAGTATATGTGAACAGTAGATTGTAACAATCATTCCTGTCTTCTTTGGGGAATTCTGAGTTAGCAGTACCCATGCTTGTCTCCTAGGGGCGAATCCAGGACAGAATAGGTCTCCACTATCAGTGCTTGTCTGCTTGGCTGGTTCCAGGGTAAAACAGCTCCCCATATACCTGCGTATATCCCAGTGGATGGATTCAGAATAGGTCATTTCAAGGCATCCAAGGCTTACCCTTCAGGGGAATTCTGGGACAGAATAGCTCACAGTGTCAAGGCTTACGTTATACCTTCCAGGGAAATTCTGGGACAGAATAGCTCACAGTATCAAGGCTTACGTTATACCTTCCATGGGAATTCTGGGACAGAATAGCTCACAGTGTCAAGGCTTACGTTATACCTTCCAGGGGAATTCTGGGGCAGAATAGCTCACAGTATCAAGGCTTAGCTTCCAGGGGAATTCTGGGGCAGGATAGGTCACAGTATCCAAGGCTTAGCTTCCAGGGGAATTCTGGGGCAGGACAGGTCACAGTATCAAGGCTAACCTTCCAGGGGAATTCAGGGGCAGAATAACTCACAGTATCCAAGGCTTACCTTCCAGGGGAATTCTGGGGCAGGATAGGTCACAGTATCAAGGCTAACCTTCCAGGGGAATTCAGGGGCAGAATAGCTTACAGTATCCATGCTTACCTTCCAGGGGAATTCTGGGGCAGGATAGGTCACAGTATCAAGGCTTACCTTCCAGGGGAATTCAGGGGCAGAATAGGTCACAGTATCAAGGCTTATACCTTCCAGGGGAAATTCTGGGGCAGGATAGGTCACAGTATCCAAGGCTTACCTTCCAGGGGAATTATGGGGCTTATCTTCCAGGGAAATTCTGGGGCAGGATAGGTCACAGTATCCAAGGCTTACCTTCCAGGGGAATTCTGGGGCAGGACAGGTCACAGTATCAAGGCTAACCTTCCAGGGGAATTTGGGGCAGGGCTCACAGCAGGTCACAGTATCAAGGCTTACCTTCCAGGGGAATTCTGGGGCAGGATAGGTCACAGTATCAAGGCTTACCTTCCAGGGGAATTCAGGGGCAGAATAGGTCACAGTATCAAGGCTTACCTTCCATAGGGGAAATTCTGGGGCAGGATAGGTCACAGTATCAAGGCTTACCTTCCAGAGGAATTCTGGGGCAGTATAGGTCCTGACACAGTATCCAAGGCTTACCTTCCAGGGGGAATTCCGGAACAGAATAGCACACAGTATCAAAGCTTACCTTCCATGTAAATTCTGGGGCAGGATAGGTCCTGTCACAGTATCCAAGGCTTACCTTCCAGGGGGAATTCAGGGACAGGAAGGGTCAGAATTCTGAGTCAGATTGGCGATTGGGGACTGCGGTTCAAAATATGTCATTTCTATCTAAGGCTTGTGGAAACAATTACTAAGGCTCTGATGGTTACAAAGTGTAACCCTGATGTTTGTATTGTCTTCACACCCTGGGATCGTGGATCATGCTATCAACCTGTGCTCCCCACTTCACACACCCAACCCCCCCACACACACACACACACACACACACACACACACCACCACCACCCCACCACCCCTCTCCTCCTTGTTCTTGCTTAAAGCCGTGATATCCTAATGGAATAATGCTGACGGATTTAAACTCCATTCACTCACTCACTCAATGACCAGCTATCTAGTATTTAAATTACGAGCCTATACTCTCGTGTGGCGTTCAGCTTTCACCAACAAACAGATTTCTCATATACAGTGTCTTTTCTTGTCGCTTTCGTTCATGCCAGTGTGCATCAGTTCTCAGTAGTACATAGATACGATGTGTGAAGACCATATATTGCTGTAATATGGTTAGACTCACAGGTACATAGATCAGATGGAAACTGTTACAGTATTATACATTCGTCAAACCTCGTCAGTTTCCGCCAATTTCAGCTCGTCCCGGATTCACACGAGTAGTCACGATTGGAATGCGTGTGTATCATTATCTTTATTGTGTGATATGTAAAAGCTTCATGTTGATAGAGGATTCGCAACCTCATCTCTAAATAAACAAAGAAATATGAGTGTTTTTAGCCTTTTTGTGTTGCTAATGTTCCTTCAATTCAGTGATATCACAAGATCAAGACGGATGCTTATGTCGATTAATTAATTACCGTGACCATGTGATGTTTAGTTGGAAGGAAGAAAGCTATTTATGATTTAAGAAAAATAGAACCACAGCTTTAATTAACACTTTGAGGTTTCTCTCAAAGACTGCTGCGGAAACTCGCAAGGCTGTAATTTATGCCGTGTCTCGTGATGTTTGCTGTTTGGCGTCACCTAAAGCTTTGAGATTACTACTGCGTATGTATGGCGACATAGTTTCGGTTGACCGATTCGAACGGTTGTAGACAACATCTCAAACTGAAAATAAGGTATATTGTGTTTCAATATACCTTCATTTAAAATATACTACCGTGTGTATATTCAGGGAGGCTTTATACCTCACATACCTCACGTGTGGTGGTGTGTGGTCCTGTGCGTAGAGCTCAAGTCACGAATCAGTTGAAGTTAAGCAGCGTTGAGCTCGGAGAGTCCTTGGATGGTTGACCGTGTTTGGCAGCTTGGCTCCTGAGAGTTTCCAGGACTTCACTCCTGCCCCACAATGAGGCACATATGATGCATGTGCTCTAATCTTAGGCAAGTGAGTTTGTACAAAATTGCCTCTCTTCACCCAGTAGAAAATGGGTACCCGGTTGGATAATGTCATGTGACTATAACCTTCTAGCGCAGCTTGGGTAATCCGGGGTAATAATAATCAGATTCTGATTACAGCGTCCAGTGAGCAATTAGTCAGATGATACTAGGCGCTATATAAATGAATCCTTATTATTATTTTTATAACTTAAAATGTGAAGCGCATTTTTGACATTTTCTCATCGTGATATAGGGCGGTGGGATAGCCTAGTGGTTAAAGCGTCCGCCCGTCACGCTGAAGACCCGGGTTCAATTCCCCACATGGGTACAATGCGTGAACCCCATTGCCAAAAGCGGCGTAAAACCATATTTGCTCGTTCGCTGCTGTTGGTATATACTTGAACATTTATTACAAAGAAATAGAATTCTTTTACACTCCTACAAAAGTGGTTTAGAGTGTCCAACAGTTTGCTCAGCAAGAGAAAGTATTCACAAACATTAGGTAGTGGCAGAAAGAGAAACGATCCAGAAATGGTCATGAGTTTAGTTTATGATTCCTAAGGAGGTGAACCGCCTCCGTGGTGTAGTGGTTAGAGCGTCCGCCCGGAGAGCGGAAGGTCGCGGGTTCGATCCCCGACCGCGTCATACCAAAAGACGTTAAAATATGGTACTTGTTGGTCCCTGTCTGGCGCTCGGCATTAATGGGTACAACAAGGACTGGTCGACTCGGAGTCAGTATAATGTGTCTGAGTGGGGTATTCATGCTTCACTGCGGCATGGTATCTCAGTGGGCTAGCACTATAAAACCAGCTTAAGTCTGGGCTAGTACAAGCAGCCGCACATACACATACATATGCATGCACGTCGTCATATGAGCGAAATATTCTCAAGCACGACGTAAAACCCAATTTCACTTCCCCACCTCCTGAGGAGGTTGTCGTCAGAGGCAACTAACGGTTTGTGTCATGCTCGCTGACCTGGTTGACATATGTCATCGTATACAAGTTACGTACATCGATGCTCATGCTGTTGATCACTGGACTGTCTGGTCCAGACTCGATTATTTACTCGATTTATTTAGGTGGAATATTGCGGCGTTCAACAACAAACAAACTATATAGGTCCTGCAATATCACGTTCTGCTTTAAAACTGTTTTGTGATTTGGAACTTAAGTTTGCGGAGTTCTCTGGTGGTTTTTGAAAACGTTTGTAATTTTCGTCAAATACAGTAGTTTACTGCGTAGTGTTTTCGCCCATATCTTTAGTCCTTAACATGCTAACAATTTACAATGTATATAATAACAGTTATTGATTTACCCTATGGAATGTCACATTTCATGCATTACCACAAAACTCTTGTAGATGTATATAGTTGGCCACCACAGATATCAGCTGATGATTTAGCTGCCGTTATTGGGGAATTCAGCAATCAATATAGTCTGTCATACAGACCCTGAAGCAAATATATCCAAGAAAGCCCACGCAAGCCTAGAAAATGTGCCTAAGATTTCCACAGCTTCTGAAAATGAAGAAAGTCTCAGGGCTCCTTTTCATTATATTATATTTTTTTACTATGAGCGTTGTTTCTGTAAAATATGTTCATTTCAGAGACTAGTTGTTAGTCTACAATCAATACTGCAGCAATGGAACTTGTATGCGAGAACGCGAGAGTGTCGGTGTTTAGCTCATCTGTAAAGGAGGCAATGGCAAACCTGTCCTGCATGTATATGTTATTGATGGTTAATTATACACTTAAGACATTATATCTCACATAGGCTCTTAAGTGGTAGGAGATTAAACAGTCTACAATATCGCCTCTAGGTGAGCAGGGGCGGTGGGGTAGCCTAGTGGTTAAAGCGTTCGCTCCTCAGGCCGAAGACGCAGGTTCGATTGCCCACATGGGTACAATGTTTGAACCCCATTTCTGGTGTCCGATCATATGGGATTATATGGGTCTTACTTGTCCATTGCTAATAGCGGCGTAAAACCCATCTCACTCACTCACTATAGGTGAGCATATTAATATATATCATATAGTGTGCACTATTTATTGAAACACTCATAAAATCTTAATTTACTTGTTGAAAACTTGGGACTGAAAAACTGATAGACGACATATTTAATTGAGACAATAAAAGACGTTTACAAAAAACGCATCCAACCGGTCTGTCGTGAATACTGTCACACACTGTAGCCACGAGAATCTCATTTTACTCGATCTTACTGGCTACTTATATACCTGCTTATATATGTATTAGGCAATAGGACATACCTGATTTGACATAAAGTCAGCAACTCAGGATTTGTAGGGTTCAAATATACATCTTGACACGGCGTCGACGAGGTAGATTTCAATAAAGCGATATTGCAGGCGGTGGTAGCCTAGGGGTTAAAACGTTCGCTCGCCACGCCGAAGACCCGGTTCAACTCCCAACAATGTGTGAAGCCCATATCAGGTGACCCCCACAAACACCCACCCTCGCCCCGTGATATTGCTGGGTTATTGCTAAAAGCATCATAACCCTAAACTCAATCACAAAGCAATATATAGAATCTATATATCGGTTAGATAATTAAGATAAGACAGAATGCGTTTTTCTCCACCATGTTGCGTTGTTTACTCTTCAGGGAGATTGTGGCAGTTACAGTATGACATCATTACATATATATTATCTACGGTGTATCAAGACAACATAAAATTTGTTCGTATATGTAAATGGTTGAATTTCTATACAATTACTCATAACCCTATGTTCCCAGATACTTTCAAAGGGACTAAAATACAAATAGCACAAGGTAAGATGGATATTATTTTCCAGCTATTCCCGTGAATCTCATTTTATAGCCAATAAATGATAAAGAATTGCCTGGTTTCATTTGGCTGAAGGTTTGTGAATCATACTAACGCAAATGAAAACGTGTTTATATTAAATCATTTTCCGAACTATCAGTCAGCGCGGTGCATTTTAAGTGCACTCCCCTTTATCAAAAGGCTCAAAACATGTCTACCCGTTCTTACACATAATGGCAGAAGCCATGGTAGAAGTAAATAATGTTCAAAGTGACCGTCAGCCTGAACATCAAATGTAACTCACTTATAAATACACTCTAGTGGTATGAGATAGGAAGTATACACAGAGTTGTGTCCCTTGGTCATCATGGCTTCCAGGCTCGGGAATACAATCCCATTTAAACAGGTGTGTAATGTTGATATTTCTGAAGAAGCAAAGGATCCTGTATGCATGCTTTAAGTTTCCAGTTTCCAGTATCTGTTTCTTCTGATAAATGCGCTCGACTATTTGAAAAACAAGCATAGATTCAAGTCTTTTCGACCAGTTTTCGATCATTTGTTGTCGTTAGTTGAACCAGGGCAGGGAGACTCTATAAGACGTGTTGTACATAGATTACCCCTGGTTGAACATGGACAAACATCCACTTGATGATAGTCGCCATGCAACACGACAAATAATGGCATATACTACTGGGACGTGAATACAATGGTTTTCAGCTAGAATAGAAAGAATATTGTTAAATTTGTCGTCTTAGTAACTGATCTCTGTTCTAAAAAAGAATCCCTCCTTCGCCGTTACAACATTTCGAGCCCTGACTAGCTTCGTCAGTGTTCAACAAACAATTTCGTTAAATGTTATAGACATTCGAATACCACCAAGTACACTGTATATGCCAGTGTTATTAACTGCCTCATCTAGCGTTAATATCATTGGAAAACAGAGGATGAAAACAACTCGTCCATGCTTACATATCGTCCTCAATATCATGTTTAAAAAGTAGTGATTTTGTATAATCACAATGTTTCAGTTTATGCTTCGAAGTGAGGTGCTAAAACTGTATCGTGACATCATGAGAGCTATCAGGCAGGTGTCCGACGCAGACCACAGGCGTGAACTAACAGAATGGGTCAGACATGACTTCAAGCAGAATAAACACCACCAAGACGAGGTGAGTCAAGAGACATTTCAGATTCTCTAGCCCAACAGAAAGTTTACTAGAAGCAGGAGGGTAGCCTAATGGTTCATGTGTTTGCTCAGGATCAGGTGGACAGGCTGGCTGACTTGGTTGACACATATCATCGGTTCCCAATTGCGTAGATCGATGCTCATGCTGCTGATCACTGGATTGTCTGGTCCAGACTCGATTATTTACAGACCGCTGCCATATAGCTGGAATATTGCTGAGTGCCATGTAAAACTAAACTCACTCACTCACTCACCCACTCATGTGTTTGCTTGTGACGTGGAAGACCTGTGTTCGATTCCTTACATGGGTACAATGTGTGAAGCCCATTTCTGGTGTCCCCTGCCCGTGATATTGCTGTAATCATGGTAATATTGCTAAAAGCGTCGTAAAAATAAACTCACTCACTCACTCTCTAGAAGTGGGGCATCAGGCTGACTGATGTTTCTTACACTGCTGCTTATGGCTGCTTATTATTTCATTGATCATGTTGATCTTTGGATCACTCAGATTTCATTCTCAGCCCCACTTAGCATGGTTAGTACACATGTTGGCTGAATGAAGTGCTAGCATTGCCCATCTTCTCCTGCGTGAACAGGCATTTTTTTAACATAGACTCAAGGTAATCTTTCTTTGCTCCAGTGTTTTTACTGTGCAAGGTTACTGGTGTCAGTTGATTCCAATGTTAATTATTTTGAAACAGGAGATTATGGACTTTTGTGCCACTCCAGTCTCCACCCCTGTCTTTCTCTCTACCCAACCTCCAGTGCAACCTGTGTTGCCACCATATAGCTGTAATAATGCTGAGCATGGCGTTAAACAACAAATCTTGGGTTATTAGGTAAACCTGTGAAGAGTTTATCCTATCATTATGAAGTCCATATACAACCATATAGCTGTGAGAATTGGAGAATTTTTATCATTTTTCACTTTTTCCCCCAAAATATGAAAAAATCTAAAAACTGTGAGGCCTCTCGATCTTTATGTAATAAGAATGGTATAAGCTACAATCATGCCAAATTTCATGCTTGTAACACAAAGTGCACAATTCAGTGAAAAAACTGCACTTATCCGTTGGGCTAATATTGCTGAGTGCAGCGTTAAACAACAACCAACCAACTAACTTTCTTTATCATTGCAGGAAACAATCAAGATGATGTTGATGAAGGGCAGAATGTCACTGAAGGAACTAGAAAGTGCCATACACTTAGCAAGGTGACAGCTGGATCTACCCTCTGTGTGGCTGAATGGACCTGGACAAGAGAGTGAGTGTTGTCCACCCAATCCATGGTGGTGTGGAATACCTGTGTATTGGACTCCTGGAATACAACAGCCTTCTAAGTTAATGCCAGTCTACATGTCATTAAGTACTAGTCTGTGGTGAGGACCTTTAGCATCATTTTGGGGCTACAGTTCTGAACCAGCTCTGGCTGTTTCACATCTACTTGGGTTAGTGAGTGAGTTTAGTTTTATGCCACACTCAGCAATATTCCAGCTCTATGGCGGTGGTCTATAAATAATCGAGTCTGAACCAGACAATCCAGTGATCAACAACATGAGCATTGCTCTACGCAATTGGGAACCGATGACATGTGTCACCAAGTCAGAGATCCTGACCACCCAATCCCCTTAGTCACCTCTTACGACAAACATGGGTTGCTGAACGTGCTGAAGATCAATTATCCCTGATCTTCATGGGTCACATGTAGGGTTGGGTATTGCAGAGAATTTTCATATTGCGATATATTGCGTGGCGAAAGCATGCATTGCGGTATGTATTGCAATATATTGCATGAAGTATTTTTAAACAAAAAACTACTTATAATCGAGTTACTTCTTGATTTATAGAGCAAAAACACATCAAAATCACTAGGCTTGATTAAGCTTTAATAACAACTTTTAATTATGATAAAATAAAAATGTGAATAATATTTGGCACAAATGAAACAAGGACATATCCGAATATTTCCGAAGTGTTACGAAGTTTTCCGAATGCAAGTCAAAATACCGGTTTTCGATCGACGTATTGCATTACGTATCGTTTTCATGTCTGAACTGGTAAATACCGGTAAACTGGTTATATTGAGCAGCCCTAGTAACATGATGCAGGATGTGTATGATCCCCCAGAATGAACCGTTGCTAATTTGCTTTATGGTCAGCAGATCCCAGTACCAACCAACATGGTGAATTGGCCTGTTTGAAGTGTTGTGATTCAACAGTGCAGGGAAGTATCAAGATGACATCATTATTTTGTATATTGATTCCTGCAACATCTGTATCTATCATTCCATGGAATGATATTGTGAAGATTATGACCCTGTCTGAATGTCTGATCATGTCTCAGGGGAATGTGATGTAGAAAGGCTAGTATCAGTTAAGGTATATATTGTCCCCGCCTGGGTCTAGGACTATAAAAGGATCCTTTATGGATATTACTTCTTAGCATGACTGAGTTTGGTTTTTACGCCGCTTTTAGCAATATTCCAGCAACATCACAGCGGGGGACACCAGAAATGGGCTTCACACATTGTGCCCATGTGGGGATTCGAACCCGGGTCTTCGGCATGACGAGCCAACGCTTTAACCATTAGGCTACCCCACCGCCCCTCTTAGCATGATGAAAAGGATCCTTTTGTATAGATCCCTGTGGTGACAATATATTAATTAACACTAGTCGTTTGCGTTACAAGTCAAAATGTACATGTTTACATATTGATTTGTGTGAGTTGCCAAAGTATGTTTCTAATTAATCTGGATATGATGTTCTTTGCAAATAAAGAAAAGTATTTTGACATCCAAACTACTTTGTCGTTTTTTCCCGATATTATATTCCCACCAAAGAAGTATTGACATTTTGACATTTTATTTATAAACAGAGAAAAACACAAAATTAGTGGTGTGGGTGAGGTACATGTAGCACTGAGATTAAATTACCAGTCACACTGAAGGCACAGGACTGAGGGAGAGTGAAATATTCTAAATATTGAGGGAAGCATAAGGGAACACCACATCATGGCAGTGTTCCTTTATTTATTCTCAGATTTCCTCCCACAGTGCTATTCAAAGATGGATGAACACTGGAAAATATAGGAACGCTTGAAATTTCCTGCATTGCTTTATTTGTTTCTCTCAGTATATATACAACAAAAACAGCAATATCTAGTGGGAATGAAAACACGAGTAAATAGGCAGTAACAGCTATCTGGAACCTTGTGACTAGTCTCAGGTTATAATTAGGTTTGATCTATATGTACTACCCATCAAAAGTTTAGACTCACTAGTGTAAATGTAGCCACTTACTTCAGTCAACTGTTCTAAACTAGATTTTGCAAAATATTCCTTACTGTTTAAAGGTACTGTTTACACATGAACTGATGTATTGTAAAACAAATTCGTAACGTTGAAAGGATTATTGTCATGAGTTCAATAAATGATGAAACTCAGTGAAAATTGGTGAATTCTTAACAAAAATTTACACCACAATGCAACTGTTGCACATGTTTGAGCATCAAATAAACGAACAAATCTGGAATCCATCTTTGAGACCAGTAATACTTCGTGTTTCACGATATGACTGAAATACTGCCGATGTTACTTTAAATGTTTTTAACTCGCTTCGTTTTTCATGTTAGTAGTTTTCGAAGCGCACGTAAAATCTAATGCACCTCATCCACACTATATTATTCGGTCACCAGAAACTGGATGTTCCAGGTGTTATCGATACAGCTAATACATGGCGGGGTTAGTAAGACGTCTACCACATGTGATCACATTTGCAACTGGATTCCTCTGTATAAATCAACAGATAAGTAACACCATGCTCACAAAAAATGCATGGAATTTGTTTAACGGCACTTAAGTATTTCAGTGAGTGAATTTAGTTTTACACCGTACTCAGCAATATTCCAGCTATATGGTGGTGGTCTGTAAATAATCGAGTCTGGACCAGACAACCCAGTGATCAACAGCTTGAGCATCGATCTGCGCAAATGGGAACCGATGACGTGTCAACCAAGTCAGCGAGCCTGACCACCCGATCCCGTTAGTCGCTTCTTACGACAAGCATGGGTTACTGAAGATCAATTCTAACCCGGACCTTCACGGGTTGATCTAGATTGGAGTGTCTTCGTTGCATATAACCGACTGTGGCGCAAAACAACATTCACTCACTTGTAGGTAATACTATCATAGAGACACAAACACGAACACGTGACTATACACAATATTTATTCCAAGGATTATATAATTTATAAACACATATTCTTCATACATCTCACAATGATAAATGTTAATGCATAATGAACCAAACAGCTGCTACAAAACACGATGGGACTTAATGATACGGAATATGACTGTTAACCATATTTTAAAAGTTAGTTTTCTCATGGTTAGATGAAAAAATGTCAGTTATGTTTTAGACGCCAAACTATCACAACATTGGTGTGAATCTGTTCGTCTATGACTACCTGTACTTGAAACGACGCGACCATTGAATCAGTTGGTATGCTATATGGCTGGGTCGTGGGTCGATCCTCCGAAGGTTTGTCCCCTCCAGACTTGACCAAAAGTAAGCGAGTACGGTTTTACGCCGCTTCTAGCAACAATCCCTCCAGCAATATTATGGCGGGGGACAAAAGAAAATGGCTTCACACGCTATACCCATATGGGCAATCGAACCCGGACTTCAGCTTGACCAGTGAAATCTTTTACCGATCGGCCATGCTAGATTCGACAAGAACGCAACTCTAATGTATCCATTCTGTAATGATCCAAACACAGGGACCTTTTGCCACAATAGCCTTTCTTTGGAAGTGTCATCTCACCCTCGAACCGCCTCCGTGGTGTAGTGGTTAGAGCGTCCGCCCGGAGAGCGGAAGGTCGCGGGTTCGATCCCCGACCGCGTCATACCAAAAGACGTTAAAATATGGTACTTGTTGGTCCCCGTCTGGCGCTCGGCATTAATGGGTACAACAAGGACTGGTCGCTCGGAGTCAGTATAATGTGTCTGAGTGGGGTATTCATGCTTCACTGCGGCATGGTATCTCAGTGGGCTAGCACTATAAAACCAGCTTAAGTCTGGGCTAGTACAAGCAGCCGCACATAGACACACGCATGCACGTCGTCATATGAGCGAAATATTCTCAAGTACGACGTAAAACCCAATTTCACCTCACCTCTCCTCTCACCCTCGAATCCTGTCTTGAGTCATTAAAATACGAACCAAACAAAATGGCTCCTCTGAGCTCGAATTTGGCATATGTCTATATACAAAAATATTAACTATAAGCCAGTATTTTATTTAGACAGTCCTAATGCTACAAGATGCCCAGGCTCCAGCTTACTGTTTAACGCCGCACTCGGCAATATCCAGCTATATGTACATAATCGAGTCAGGATCAGACAATCCAATGGTCAACATCATGACCATCAATCTCTGCAACTGGGACACGATGTCATGTGTCAACCAAGTCCGCGATCTTGACCACCCCATCCTGTTAGTCGCCTCTTACGACAAACATGGGTTAACGAAGACCAGTTGTAACCCGGATCTTTACGGGTCTCCAACAACCCATGCTTGTCGTGAGACGACGAACGGGATTAGGTTGTCAGGCTCGCTCACATGGCGGAGGTATGTCATCGTATCTCATCTGTCTGGAACGTGGCTCGTGATGTCAATCACTGGAGCGTCTGGTCCAGACTCGATCATACACTGCAATGTTGGCATGGTGTCTTTCAAACCAGACTCGAAACAAAGGTATGATAGTGAATTTGCCATGCAATATAATGGGCATATTACATATACACTGGGTAATAAAAGTTCAGTACATAGCTCACACACTACCAATGGTACTGAGTAACACACGTTCACCACACTCGATACCGTATATACAGTTATATTAGCACGATGGCCATACTGTGTTCGCCAGCTGTCACTAGAGTATGTATCCAGGATGTGATGTGGACGTGAAGATGCTGGTTGAGATCATGTGAGTGGTAAGTCATGTTACCTAGTAATGTTAGCTGTACAGAGTATAGAACTGTTCCTGGTATCCTCTACGTGGTTTATCTGTACATGGCAGTTCCTAGTGTCCTTCACGTGGTTCAGCTGTAAAGGTTATTCGGCAGTTCCTGATACCCTTCACGTGGTTCAGCTGTAAAGGTTATTCGGCAGTTCCTGATACCCTCCACGTGGTTTAACTGTATAGGTCAGTTCCTGGAATCTCCACGTGGTTTAACCAGGTTAGTTCATGGTATCCTTCAAGTGGTTTAACTGTAAAGATTATAGGTCAGTTCGTGGTATCCTTAACGTGGTTTAACTGTATAAGTCATTTCCTTAACTGTATAAGTCATTTCCTGGTATCCTCCACGTTGGTTTAACTGTAAAGATTATAGGTCAGTTCATGGTACTCTCCGCGTTGTTTAACTGTAAAGATTACAGGTCAGTTCATGGTATCCTCCACGTGGTGTAACTGTAAAGATTATAGGTCAGTTCATGGTACTCTCCACGTTGTTTAACTGTAAAGATTACAGGTCAGTTCATGGTATCCTCCACGTGGTGTAACTGTAAAGATTATAGGTCAGTTCCTGGTATCCTCCAAGTGGTTTAATTGTAAAGATTACAGGTCAGTTCATGGTATCCTTCACGTGGTTTAACTATAAAGATTATAGGTCAGTTCCTGGTATCCTCCACGTGGTTTAACTGTAAAGATTTATTGGACAGTTCATGGTATCCTTCACGTGGTTTAGTCAAGAAAGGGTTTGAGTGTCAGCTAACGGCTTGGTTTACCAAAATGCCCGAGATTCTTTCATATACATCATGCACCCTCAGTACGGGCCCTGAAGGGGTGATGGGATGACATGGCGATTGCAGCGTTTGCTCGCCGCGTCGAAGGCCCGGGTCCGATACCTATGTGGATTCAATATGTGAAACCCATTTGAGGGTTCCCCGCAGTGATGTAGGTTGAATAGGTGGTGCTGAAAGCACACATCACATACGCTCACTCACTCATTCACGGGTTCTGGTGAGGCAGAATATAGGGGCAATATACACAATAGCTACCTAGTATAGCCAGCCTTCAACTGTCAATATGATTCTTTTGTTTGTTGCTTTCACGATCAACTTATCAACAGATTGTCGTGATATAGTAGCTGCACCATTAACCTTCACGTCAAATCACACTATGAACGCATTCAATTTCGTGGGTGGGAGCTAATGTGGGTGGAGGTGGCAGTCCAGTACGGGTAGAGACAAGTACCTGTGAAGGCCGTTCCCCACACAGCTCTTCACTCCCTGGCAACTGTAAGATCCTACACGATCACCGTGTCAGTTTGTAGAGGTGGTTCGTATGATAAGTCTTATGGAAAGGACCGGTATTTTTATATAATACGAACATTTGTATAGACACACAAACGTCTTAAACAGTTCGGGTGACGCGAAATACTCCTCTGCCTTGGTTCTATCAACATGTGCCTCAAGCACTACGATCAGCTCGATCATACAAGGCAAAATGTGACAATCGGAAATTTACACTCACATTAAGTCTCGCGGTTAGTATAGTTAATAAAACACATAACTGATTCTTTAAAGAACTGCAGGTACGAAACTCCTTACATAATTCCAGGTAAGACACTTGAGGCATTTTTGTGTTTTTCAAGAGTTTCTAGAGACGTCTGTACATATCTCCATTTTGTCTGTACCCTGTTTTCCCACTTTGAGGGACCGCCTCCAAGGCCTATAGTGGATAGAGCGGCTGAGGTTAGGGGTTCGAACTGTATCATATCAAAAGACATAAAAAGATAGTAAGGCATTGAGGGGACAAAACAAGTACTATTTACCACCGTGCTTGTACTCTGTCATGTACGATGATAAATCGGGGTAAGTCTCCAGGATATCGATAGGTTCGGACTCAATACACTGTGTCTTAGTGGTGGATCCATGTCACGGTGGACTAGCCATTGACACCAGCTTTAGTTTGGCACCTCAGCCACATACGGCATGTCGCAAAAAAACGTGAACGCGACTAATTATGTCATGACCATTATTTAAATTCTCCTACACAGTAGAAGGTATGGGATTTTTTCATCTCACTGTCCAAACAATCAGTCGTGAAAATCACAAATGACACTTCTTTTGAATGTCGTACTTCGAACCCACAGACCATAGATCTGAAGCTCGTTGAAACCTATAAACGTTGAACATCTTCAAATCTACCGGTACAGATAAAGTTCTTAATAAATCATGTACACTGAATCTCGTACAACATATCACATGGCTGTTGAGCAAAATGCTAGAAACACTCGCTCTTAATACAGTGTTTACAAACACCTTTGAGATCGGTCTTAAATGCTTGTGTTCCTGAGACGACTAAAAGCACAACAGTCTCACAGAACGTTGACGTAATGCTGAAGCATGATGGTCTAGCACATAACACTACATGAATCAAACTCAGCTTCATTTACCCGGTCGTTGTATCCTTCTCTTCGAATTCCGATTACCTTTAGGTTTCCTATTATTGACCTTGTTCGGAATTTTAACACTGTCCTTTCCTCTATTTTGTTGAACTCTTTGATTAGGTTTAGGTACAGTTCTCTATCTTGGAACCTGTCGTCTGCTTCCTGGTTTAGGTACAGTTCTCTGTCTTGGAACCCATCGTCTGCTTCCTGGCTGACGACGTTGATTCGTCCTTGACCTTTGCCTTGGCCTTTGAGTAGGTCGAGGTCGTTGAGCAGGTTTTCTGGTAGGTTTTGGCTTTCTTCTTGGATTAACTTCATTTTTGTCCTTTTTCTTTGAACATGTAGTAATGTCACAGTACTGCCACTGTTTCTTTTCCTTGGTGGTGTAGCACCATGGTTTTTTCCTCCTCATTCCGCTAGGGTTCCGACAGTGGTTGTGGTCTCCCAGCCCGTCACTGTCCTCCCGGCCCCCAGATGACTTAGGCTTCAGTTTGTGGCTGTGGGGGTACTGCTCAGACCACTTCTGACACGTGATGCCGCCCAGGGTGTGGTCAAGATTGCCTCTGTAATCGCGACCGTCCTTGTACCGTCCCTGCAGGCACTTTCCTGAAACCATAGCAACATACGAATGACGACTTCCACATCATCGACAGCACTTGACATCATCATCGAACATGACGCAATAGAATAGAATCTATAAATAAAATGACAGTGGTAAGTCCTGATATTATCTCAGTGAATCCCATATATTCCCTTTACATTGGACGCTTCATACCTTAAAAATTACAACTTTGTCAATCCATATTAGGAAATATATGACCACTGATACATTATTTTTTTCTGAAATGCGTTAAATTAACACTACGGCGGACCGTACATCTTTCGATATAATTACAAACTCCAATTTATAATCAAAATGTATTCATATCATTAAACAAAAACACTTTAATACAGACGTATGTAAGCAGACTCGACGTATGTCTTTAATATTGTGCGTGCGTGCGTGTGTGTGTGATTGAACCTGGTTCTCTGGCGTGACGAGCGAACGCTCTCACCTTTAGGCCACCACAGTTATGATACTTATCACGTTTATACAATGACGCTTATTACATTCACTTGTTTCATTCAAATCTTGTAAAAAATGCAATATGAAGTACCAATGCTAAGCGTGAAAACTTCGATCACGTCACCTGTGCTAAACCCGGTTACCAGGGTGATAAAGGAGGGCAAACAACAGTCCCTACCCCCGTCCACCAGAGTGAGAACAGCCCAGACGCTGGTGACATTGCCTGATGTAATACTTGTCTAAATGTGGAGTAAGGAATACTCGGCTTTCTCGTTGAATCGATTGATCACGATCCATTTCCATGACGGTACAGAGGGTATAGAAACTGGTGGTGGGCTTTTTTTCAATAGGTGAGTGAGTATGGTTTTACGCCGCTTTTAGCAATATTCCTGCAATATCACGGCGGGGACACCAGCAATGGGCTTCACATCTTGTCCCCATGTGGGGAATCGAACCCGGGTATTCCAGCAAACGCTTTAACCTCCTGGCTACCCCACCGCCCTTCGACCGCCTCCGTGGTGTAGTGATTAGAGCGTCCGCCCGGAGAGCGGAAGGTCGCGGGTTCGATCCCCGGCCGCGTCATACCAAAAGACGTTAAAAAATGGTACTTGTTGGTCCCTGCCTGGCGCTCGCCATTAATGGGTACAATAAGGACTGGTCGGCTCGGAGTCAGTATAATGTGTCTGAGTGGGGTATTCATGCTTCACTGCGGCATGGTATAGTGGGCTAGCACTATAAAACCAGCTTAAGTCTGGGCTAGTACAAGCAGCCGCACATACACATACACACGCATGCACGTCGTTATATGAGCGAAATATTCTCGAGCACGACGTAAAACCCAGTTTCACCTCACCTCACCTCACCTCACCTCACCTAATTGTTTGAAATGGTGCTCATGCCATAGACTTATGGTTTGCTGGACCAGATTTGATTATTTACAGGCGATCTGGAACAGTGCTGTCTACTGTGATTTTTACATCAACATTCACTCATTCTCGGTAAGGTAAGGTAATACAGGGTCTTCAGATCCCAGACGAACAAGACTCGTACCCCACACGCATGCACGTCGTCATATGAGCGAAATATTCTCAAGTACGACGTTTAACCTCATTTCACCTCACCTCACCCACCGCCCTTCACTTGGTGAACCAGCATATGGGGAATCAAACCTGGGTCTTCGGCGTGGGTGGACGATTTAACCACTAGGCTACCCCATCTTCTCTGGGGAACCTACTAGCATGGGTACCTTACTGACAAACACTGATCACACTAGAAGAAACTAGTACCATTAGTAATGGTTCACCTAGGTATGGTTTTGAACAGGGATAGAGTTTCTAACTCATGATTCTGACAAGCGCCTAAAACGACATGGTTCTATCTATATCAATCACCTCACATGCCTCCTGAAATACTCCGAAGACCCAGGTTCGATTCCCCTATCGGTTCAGTGTATGAATCCCATTTCTGTGTCCCCTGTCGTGATTTTGCTGGAATATTGCCCAAAGCGGCGTAAAACCATATTCACTCAATCCGACGAGTAACGGGTACATGTGTCGTACACTCCTGAAATAATTATCCGTTAGTTAGTACAGATGAGATCAATGCTCATGCTGTTGACCACTGGATTGTCTGGTCCAGAGTCGATTATTTACAGACCGTCGCCATATAGCTGGAATATTGCTGAGTGTGGCGTAAAACTAAACTCAGTCACTATTCCAAATAAATCTTTTAACTTACTTTTAGCCCGCTTTTCACATATGAAGGGGTATATGTGGTTAGGAAGCTGCGAGACTGACCCAGTCCACACGCCCTGCCAGAGGAACTTCTTGGTAGACCTGTCCTTCACTAACGCCATGGAAGTATAGGTGCCTGGCATCCCTTTGCCCCAGTTCGTGTACTTCATCTTCTTCGGCTTCGTCTTCTCGCCCTTGTACCACACCATCGACCCGTTGACCGCCTTACCGCCGGTTCTCCAGATGAACACCTTGGGGAACTTCTTGTTGACAAGCTTCTCCAGGAACTTGTCTTCACCCTTGTTTTCTATGCTTACCAGATATGCATTTTCATTCTGGCACTCCTTATACGCGGCTGAGAATTGGTGCTTTGGTCTGTTGTGGAGCTTGTAGCAGCTTGTCTTGAACTTGAACCAATTCTTTGGACAAACTGGAAAGAAACATCAGAAGGTATGTAGGAAGGGACTCGTTTTCTGGACGCATTTTGAGACCGAATATAATCCACTTTTCTCACTATTGATTAATCTGTACGATATCAAGAACTGGAGTTTAGTATTCCGTCAGTAAATGGTCTGCATTTGTCAAAAGGAAATGAAAAACGATAACTACCAGTCAGGTTGTTATAGAAGAAAGAAAAATATTTATATCACTTTCAATGTTGTCTCCAATTATTACCGGGATTACAGATGTTTGCATGTTGTTTAACGCCGCACTTTAGCCATACAACCGCGGCCTGAAAATAAGTTAGGACCAGGCAGTCCTGTTATTGACGTTACCACGAACCAAGTCACCGAGCCTAACCACCCGATCCAATAGGTCACGACACAAATATAGGGTCTAGTTCGTACCCAGAAACCCCAGGAAACGAAACCTGATGATATCAAGCGTTACATACATCTGAACATACGCACAAATACGCACTGAGTGACCGTCTTTTCTAAGACAGAATGTAACCATAGGCAACCATAGGTTTATTGTGCCGATAAAGTGTTAGAATCATGACCTTTTAAAAGAAGCCATCTTGAATCTGTTGAGTCTGACAAAAGTAAATAAACAACACATACATGTATCAATAAACTCCTACATATTAAGTTATCAAATATTGCTGTTTTGTATAACGGCTTTAATATTGCTTACGTTAGGCTAGTATATTAACAAGTTCTCAAATATTGCTGTAATGTACAACGGCTTGACATTGTTTACGTTAGGCTAGCATATTAACAAGTTCTCACATATTTCCGTTTTGTCAAGCGCTTTAATACTGCTTACGTTGCGATATGTTGACTACAACACAGTTCACTGCGCTATATGCAGGACACTGGTCTAGACAGGCTTATAAACACGTTGCCGTCACATGGACGTCGTTGCGTCCCTGTATAGGTATTAGGACAATATCCTGAAATATCCCAGGCGTTCATTGTTCAACCTGTGGGAATGCATTAAAAAAATAAACCCGAACAAATTATATCTGAATTATTGCCCCAGCTTTCAACATTCGATTATTTACATGTGTTTATAAAACTCCGTGTTGTGTGAACGCTGCAGCGTCGATGATGGCTGCAAGTCTGGGAACTTTGTATGGTCTGCCACCAACGTAAAAAAACTGGTGGTATCCTCTTTTGCCAGTCGGGCAAGTTGTTTATTTAAGGAGTAAGAGGATTATGAGGCATGGTCGACTGAGTTTGGTTGTTTAACTAATCCCACACGGCCTTCACCAGTCATTTGATTCAGATTTTTGAGAGGCATTTAGAAGTTGATGAATATACATGTATAAGACATTGATTATGCAACAGTCTCGTTTCCCGCTGACTGGGTTCCGCCCTATTGCGCAAATTAGTACAATAACCTGTACAGAATTTTTAGACCAATTCAACATTCGATTATTTACATACATGTGTTTATAAAACTCCGTGTTGTGTGAAGGCTGCAGCGTCGATGATGGCTGCAAGTCTGGGAACTCTGTATGGTCTGCCACCAACGTAAAAAAACCGGTGGTATCCTCTTTTGCCAGTCGGGCAAGTTGTTTATTTAAGGAGTAAGAGGATTATGAGGCATGGTCGACTGAGTTTGGTTGTTTACTAATCCCACACGGCCTTCACCAGTCATTTGGTTCAGATTTTTGAGAGGCATTTAGAAGTTGATGAATATATAAGACATTGATTATGCAACAGTCTCGTTTCCCGTTAAATGGGTTCCGCCCTATTGCGCAAATTGGTACAATAACCAGTCCAGAATTTTTAGACCAATTCAACATTCGATTATTTACATACATGTGTTTATAAAACTCCGTGTTGTGTGAAGGCTGCAGCGTCGATGATGGCTGCAAGTCTGGGAACTCTGTATGGTCTGCCACCAACGTAAAAAAACCGGTGGTATCCTCTTTTGCCAGTCGGGCAAGTTGTTTATTTAAGGAGTAAGAGGATTATGAGGCATGGTCGACTGAGTTTGGTTGTTTACTAATCCCACACGGCCTTCACCAGTCATTTGGTTCAGATTTTTGAGAGGCATTTAGAAGTTGATGAATATATAAGACATTGATTATGCAACAGTCTCGTTTCCCGTTGACTGGGTTCCGCCCAATTGCGCAAATTAGTACAATAACCAGTCCAGAATTTTGAGACCAATTCATTTAACTTGATACATAAATACTAATCAGTATTATTTGATACATCTAAGAACTTGTATATTGCAACACTATGCTCTGTCGTACAGCGAGCTCTGACAAACGGAAACCTGGAAATCGTGGAAATCTCAAAACGAGGCTCTGCCGCTAGAAATGTTTGGTGGTCTGGTACGGACTTGATATTATATCAATCACATTCTATTATTTCCCATCTGGAGGACGTTGTTGGAGCTGGAAAACCTGACCTCACTGACCAAACGGCAGTTATCACTAACGTGGATTGACTGCGAGATTGGGTCCGTTTTCAGAAACATACACTAATGCCCGCACCAAATGCCCCATGTTGTCCCAGATGACATGTACCTTAGCGCTACTCCAGCGGTACCCAATGTCAGCCGAGTCACAACGGCCGTCTACTCGTATCTAATGAGTGGTACCAAAAAGCGGTCTTATGGTACCTAAAGGTTGACTAATGGAACCTAAAGTCGGTCTAGTGGCACCTAACGACAGTCTAGTGGTATCTAACGACAGTCTAGTGGTATCTAAAGGCAGTCTAGTTTTACCGAAAGGAAGTCCGAAAGACAACCTAACGGCATACCTAAAGGCGGTCTAATGGTACCTAAAGGCGGTCTAATTGTACCTAAAGGCATTTTGTGGTACGTCAAGGCGGTCTAGTGGTTCTGAAAGGCGGTCTAGTGGTACTGAAAGGCAGTATAATGGTTCCTCAAGACGGTCTAATGGTGATCCACTGACCACAACCCCAGCATGGACCAACTGCATGGACTGACCGCGAGCCTGAGTCCCTAATGCCTGCGGTCCAGTGGTACTGGATGGCGGCAGAATGATACTAAAGGACAACCTAGTGGTACAGGCAGACAGTCGGGTGGTGGGTATTAACAATCAGGAGGTACACACTTCAATTCTAATGTTACATAATGAGTGAAGATGGTACATAGCGGCGGTCCAGTGGTACTGGAAGGCGGCAGAATGATACTAAAGGACAACCTAGTGGTACAGGCAGACAGTCGGGTGGTGGGTATTAACAATCAGGAGGTACACACTTCAATTCTAATGTTACATAATGAGTGAAGATGGTACATAGCGGCGGTCCAGTGGTACTGGAAGGCGGCAGAATGATACTAAAGGACAACCTAGTGGTACAGGCAGACAGTCGGGTGGTGGGTATTAACAATCAGGAGGTACACACTTCAATTCTAATGTTACATAATGAGTGAAGATGGTACATAGCGGCGGTCCAGTGGTACTGGAAGGCGGCAGAATGATACTAAAGGACAACGTAGTGGTACAGGCAGACAGTCGGGTGGTGGGTATTAACAATCAGGAGGTACACACTTCAATTCTAATGTTACATAATGAGGGAAGATGATACATAGCGGCGGTCCAGTGGTACTGGATGGCGGCAGAATGATACTAAAGGACAACCTAGTGGTACAGGCAGACAGTCGGGTGGTGGGTATTAACAATCAGGAGGTACACACTTCAATTCGAATGTTACATAATGAGTGAAGATGATACATAGCGGCGGTCTAGTGGTACTGGAAGGTGGCAGAATGATACTAAAGGACAACCTAGTGGTACAGGCAGACAGTCGGGTGGTGGGTATTAACAATCAGGAGGTACACACTTCAATTCGAATGTTACATAATGAGTGAAGATGATACATAGCGGCGGTCTAGTGGTACATAAAGCCAGTTCAGTGATACATAATGACAGTGTGGAGGTAACAAAGCCAGTCAATGGTACATAATGGGCTTTATTACCTACGAGGTATTATTTTTCATACGATGCCCTAGGGCAAAATATCACTTTGTCATGGTGACGTGACGTCATGAGCAATGTTTTCTGTGAGGTTGCGTTCGACGGTATTCGGCTTGTCCCGGAATAACACGAGTTGGTCACGAATGGCGGCGACGGCGGGTAACCAGCCTATGTTTGAAAGTCAAGTCAAAACATTGATCACACAACAGTCTCGTTTCCTGCTAACTGGGTTCCGTCCTATTGCGCAACTCAGTGCAATAACCAGTACAGAATTTTGAGACCAACTCATTCAACTGGATACGTAAATATTCATCAGTATTATTTGATACATCTAATCACTTGTATAGTGCAACACTACGCTCCTTCTACTCCTTGCAAACACGTCGTGCAGCGTGCTCTGTCGTACAGCGTGCTCTGACAAACGGACATCTGGAAATCATGGAAAACTCAAAACGAGGCTCTGCCGCTAGAAATGTTTGGTGTCTGGTACGGACTTGATATTATATCAATCACATTGTACGCTACACAAATGCATTTAACATGCGCAGAGAACACATAACAGGTGTAACCAGTAAGCCAGATGAATTGTGAATCATTGTACGACCTCTTCGAACAGGGGCAGTCTGTGACCTCTTAGTTAAAGACATGCTGCATAAACCTCGACATAAAACATAGAAATACGATTTATCTCAACTTTAAAATTAAAATTAATTTATAAATATCATTTTCTTATGAAACAAGGAATTGGAATTCAGTGTAACCATGGTTGTTTGTAGTGTCTCTTTTCACTTTAACACGAGACAATTCGGATCGGTTGAAAAGTAGGTCATTGTCTGAATTTGTTAATGAGACTTATGTTTCGGTTTGAGATTTAGGTTTATTTTCCTCAATTTGACGACTTTGGTAATAAACAGAATATTATATTCGTGCCCATATCATACTATGTTTACGACACTCGTGGCTAAATATCGGAATATCCCTCGCTCTCGCTCGGGAAATACCAACATTTAGGCACTCGTGTCGTTAATACGTATAGTATGACATGGGCACTCATATAATATCCTCTATTTAATGGTACGTAATGAGAATCTAGTATAACATAGGATTCTTTAGTTGGGCATATCACACTCTTCACAATGTCAGCCTAGAGGTACCTACACGTGACAGCGCTGTCTTCCTTCTCGTTGCAATGGTACATGGCTCTCAGCTGGGCGATGTCAATGGTGCTCAGACCCCGTCTCTGACCGATCTTCAGGTCAAGTTTCTTTCCGATACCTATCACCTGGAACAGAGTAGAAACCTTGTTTCATGACACATTTACAGTTTTACGTTCTTCCAGGTGTGGAACATTTTCAATATGGAACTTCAGACAGCGTTGCCTAACTAATTGCTGAACAAAAGGAATAGAGTATATGGATGTCAACTTCTTATGAGGAACACAACGTTTCCGAGTATATACTTACTAGTTCATCAGGTGAATGAGAGTACCGTTATGTGCACCACTTCCATAGCCATTCACAGACGTATAATGGTGGAACAGATCGTAACAGACGTAACGGGTTTTACTATTGTACTTACTTCTGCACCATCGGGATTTGCTTCCGTAACAGATGCATCATGTTTAATAACATATGTTTGTTTGTTTATTATTTAACGCCACACCAAGCAATATTCCAGCTATATGGCGGTGGTCTGTAAATAATTGAGTCTGGACCAGACAATCCAGTGACTGACATCATCAGCATCGATCTACGCAGTTGAGGATCAGTAACATCAACCAAGTCAGCGAGGCTGACCACCTGATCCCGTTCGTCGTCTGTTACAAGCATGGGTTGCCGAAGACCAGTTCAAACCCGGATCTTCTGTAATAAGTCTATCATGTTTAATTACTTCACCAATAGATCCATTAAGATCCATTACTTGCGAAAGTCACCTTAAGGATTGACGATTTCAGTACACATGTCCAACAGGATATCACACAGACACGTCAGAATTGATTACTCCAGTAACAGGCACACTTTCATGGATAACTTGATGAGAAAACCTGCCATCTGATCACACTAGTTACCTTTCCATGGCCTTCGAGAACGATACCTAAGCAACGCTTCTTAGACGGTTGATTACTGATTACTCTTGTTACGTTTACCTTAGGTCCATGGCTGACGCTTTAGTAAGGGGCCATCTTGGATGATTATTCATTACTTTATTTACCTTGCCATGGTCATCAGGATTGGCACTTCCGGTAACACACCTTCCATGTTAGATTGCTAACTGGTATACTTAAGTTTACATGTCCATCAGGAATGATGCTGTTCTTACAACCCACCCATGATAATTACTGATTACTTGAGTTACAATTACAGACCCAAGTAATTAATTCTTACAGTATCAGACAAAAGGGGCTGATTATTTCAGTACAAGCCCTACTGTTGTTTACACTAACGGTGTATTAGACTTAAGACGTACCTTGAGTGTTGGTTCCCCCATCCGCGTGAAGGCCCATTTGTTATAGTGCATGATACTGGAATAGTCGTAAGGAAAACCTCTTGACGTGGCCAGCCTTTTGCTGAGTTTTTTAAAATCAGGAAGGAACTTAGGGGAGATATTATCCTCCAAAACCTTGATGTATTCGTCTCGGTCGGGTCGTGCCTAAATTGAACACAAACAAGTAATTAATACTATATGTTAGATGTAAAATAACAGTACCCCACCTTCGCAGTTGCTTGTTTATTTAAAAAATATCTTTCATGAAAACTTAACATCAATGTTACTTGGTGTGTCATCAGTGTGATATTTGAAATTAAGATGGATGCAATAACAGAGTTCCAATACCTGTTCGTGCCAGACGCCCAAAGCATGACTAGTTTCGTGGATAGCAGTACCGACGTTTTCACAACCTCGCCCAATGCTGACAAGTTGTGCCCCGCCTCTTTTCCCAACGTTCGACCAGCACCTACAGATATGAAAACATGAAACATATAGACCCCGAACTACATCAATAATTTCAAAAAGTCTTACCACAGGGTAAACTTCCACACTTGATACACTTGAGTGAAGGAGTAGGAATAATTTGAACGATGCTTTGAACAATATGCACGGCGTGTCAGCTTAATGTGGGAGGAAAACCCGAAGTTCACACGTTTACCAGCTTGGTGAAACCTACACGCATGGTTATGTTACTGCTAAACCTAGTAACATCTATGGTGCAAACTGGATTTGAACCCGCGATCATACGTTTCTGCCGTACTGCGGAGACGCAACCCAGTCGTGCCCTATTCGTATCCCCGTATCAGGAGATAACCTTTATTCAGAGATAATTTTTGTATTGCGAGCTGGTCGCCTTGGTATGAAATCATACCCCCACGGAGCTAGAAAATTTAAACTTCCAAACTCATTGGAATCCTACTGAGTGAGTATTGTTTACGCCGCTTTTAGCAATATTAATTAAAGCAATATCACAGCGGGGCACACCATAAATAGGCTTCACACATTGTACCCATGTCGGGAATTGAATCCGGGTCTTCAGCGTGACGAGCGGAGGCTTTAACCTCTAGGCTACCCCACCGCCCCCATTGGAATCAGAATCTCAGAACCAGGATACATGTACGGAGACTGTCATACTGCCCATTACACTTAAAGCCAAGTTTACCCAAGACATTAATCAACTTTCAGTAAGTCTCTTTAATTGCGACGCTGGAACCACTCACAACATTTGTGTAATATTATCGTAAGGAACCGCCCTGAGATCTTATTGGCTGCCTGTGTGGTTTCTGTCGGAATTCTCTAGCCGTCTATACACTCTCGGTAACCATACAAAACACGCATAACACTGATAATATGTCTTACAAGAATTTAGGTAAACAGCATAACCTGAAGACGAGGCAAACACGACGAAGCATATTTTCATTAGTTTTTTGTTTTGTTTTCGAACTGGGGTACATTTTAAGGGTTGGAACAAGGAACGGTTTTGTCCGTGAGTAGAACGTGGAATTCATTAGAAAGTTCAAAACCTGCGTGTTTCGGTAAAAGGCACTGGCGTAGAACCTTTTCGTCTTGCTGCTTACTGAGCTGATCGGCGGATATTTTGTCTGGAGGACCTGTTTCAAACAGTGCTACGATATGAATTTAGGTTCAGTGACGATGTTTAAGAAGAAGGCCCGTGGCCTCGCGGACTAAAATGGTTGAGATCGGAATATTTGTTTATCATTTAACGCCGCCTTCAGCAATATTTCAGGTATATGATGTCGGTCTATGGTTTATAATCAATTGGACCAGGCAAATGAGGGATTGACATTATGAACACAGTTTCTCGGTGTATGAGGACATGGTATCGATCAAGTCAATGTCCTGTTATTAAGACATGGATCTTTACGAGTCCCGTAATCGGTATAACCCTTATTAAGGAAATGGCTTGCTAGAGTGAAATCCGTTGTGTCGAACTGGATGGGATCCACGTAAATACTTCGAGTTATCCGACGTTCGATACAACCACAAAATGAGGACTAAGTTAGAAAAGAAGAGTGTACTTCGAGACAAAAGCATGTTCGACAGAACGGTGTTTGAATGTATACTGCCGTCCTAACAATTAACCAAGTGAGCTCACCAAGTAAAAACATGCTTACATGTCATATTAGATTGATCAAATATTATTTCAGTACTCAAAACATGAGAGAAACACTTGTTCTCTAGACTAAAAAAACATTACCAGTAAACATTCAGTTCCATTGGACCGTAAACAAACATGTTTATCAACAGAAAATCCCACAAAAGACTATCTGTCTACCTGAACGACTTTTTCTTAGGATGTGTTTTGACGACTCTAAATATAGCTTTACTGTTCATAATGAAAATAAACAGCGGACTGTGGAAAGTTTGTGAACTATAAGTGCCTCGCCATCAGACTAGCTATAGTTTGTGATGACGTACATAACCCAATATTTAATGTGGCGGTGTCCACATGTCTCCAAGTTTTTCTTCTTTCTAATGTATTTTAGGACGCTGCACTTGCGAACTCATAATCCGTGTTAATATTGATGTACCACTTTTTCAGGACGCCGCATATTTGCTAATAGGTTGCTACGCGCACCAACTTAGGCATTCGTAACTACTCGTGTCATTCCGGTAAGGCGGATGGCGACTCGTATCCCTCTCGTGGCCATGTTCACGACTGGGCCTTATCTCAGCGCAAACGGGCACTGAGATGACAATAGTCTAAGATGATTACGAAGGAAAGATAACTCTGAATTTCCAAACATGGCTCACAGAATATCCTACAGCAATATCCTCTTGGCAATAATGGCATATTATACAGGTACAAGTCTTCTTGTAGGTCACGGGAAGAGTCGAATGCAACTGTGCAAATTACTGTCCGTCCCTAAAATCCAACCGCCCCTTCACATCACACGAGCAGCCTGGTTCCCGGTGTCTGTTGCGTTACACTTCGTAGCGCAGCAGCAGATCCCGGCAACCAGGCTGATCACAAGAGTCGGTCACCAGTTCCAGTGTTTCATTCATACTGAACAGTCGAAAAGAAAGGCCGTTAAAGTGTACACACTTAACATACAACTGACGATACAGTCTCCAATACCGTGCCTTCAATTGTTACAAGCAGGGAACTACTTTGGCACTCTACTTCAACATGTGTGTGGCATTCTTTCGTTTCGCTTTTATTCCTGTTCCTGTTTTTCCAGGTGCAAGTTGGTTTCCAAATTGGAGCAAAGGTATTTCCTTTCTGTCAACATCCGTGTACATGTATCGTCATCAAGTTGCAGTGGCTTTCAGCTGGCACAGATCATGACGTTACCTGTCACTCAGCGCACAGTTCGGAAGGGAAAATATCGTAACATACATTTAAATAATTTAAGTAAGAGCGGAACCAAGAAATCCCAAACAAACACTTAAATATGTGACAATGTTTTAAAAAAATTACTGTATACAATGATATAAAATGCTAGTGTCCTCAGATCAATTTCTGTGGCTGCTTGGAAAAATGTAAACAGTTTCGGCAAATCAGGGAAATATGGAATTAAGCTTTTACGCATATATTACACATTTTACCTGTAATAGAGAACTTTGATGATAAACTGTTTGCGCCAAAAAATAAATAAATAATTTATTTTTATTTTTTCAAAATTTAATTTGCATTTTGTTGTGTTGAGTGCAATATTCCAGTCGTATTAGGTCAACTTGACGGGACCTTGACATATTTTACTCAATTTTGGTTTTGAACCTTGGAATACTCAACCGACCTCTACCTTATTACTACCAGTAGGAGGTCACTAGGAACCTATGCCGTGTATTTCCTTTTTTCACCTGGGCGGCGGGGTAGCCTAGTGGTTAATACTTTTGCTCAAGTTCGATTCCTCACATGGGTACAATGTGTGAAACCCATTTCTGGCGTCTCCCGCCATTGCTGGAATAGTGCTAAAAGCGGCGTAAAATCATACTAACTCACTCATCTTTCGCATGTTCTAGTAGGGGCGGTGGGGTAGCCTAGTGGTCAAAGCGTTCGCTCGTCACACTGAAGACCCGGGTTCGATTCCCCATATGGGTACAATGTGTGAAGCCCATTTCTGGTGTCCTCCGCCGTGATATTGCTGGCATATTGCTAAAAGCGGCGTAAAACCATACTCACTCACTCCGACGAGTATGGGTACTTGTGTCGTACTACGTACCCTGGTTCACTGATGTACCGCACATAGTCCTTGTCTTTCGCTGTCCTCTTCTTAAACTTGATGCACGTGTGGAGTTCAATCTGTTGGATGGCGCGCTTGATCACCTTCTCGGAGGCTGGACCTGAAAACAAGATTAGCAGGGATATCGAATAATTTTACAATTTTATATTATTTTACTTTTTGTATTATTTATTGTCGGCCTGTATATAGCATCGTTCTGGAAACATCGTGTTTGGGCGAGATGATCTGGTGATTGATATCATGACCATCATGCACAAATAAGGCACGAAGACATGCATCATAAAGGTCAGCAAACCTGACCACCAGATCCCGTTTGCCGCCTTCGACGACACGCATGGGTTGCTGATGGCAAATTTAAATCCTAGCGTTAACCGTGTTTCTCAGATAACAGTTTGAGATACGAGTGAGTGAGTATGGTTTAACGCCGCTTTTAGCAATATTTCAGCAACATCACGGCGGGGGACACCAGAAATGGGCTCTAGACATTGTACCCATGTGGGGAATCGAACCCGGGTCTTTAGTTTCACGAGCGAACGCTCTAACCATTAGGCTACCCCACCGTCCCGTTTGAGATACGAGTATACGTGGATTCAACCATACTCTTTCTCCCTGTAAAATATCTGTTCCTCTGAAATCGCGACCAGAGTAGCGTACACATACTTATATAGAGAAACCCAACATATCTAATGACACGCTTGAACTGTTCCGCGGCACTAGTTATTGTCCTCCCCCTTGCGCTGCTTCTCCCAATCTTTCCTCACAATAACACTGTATGTCCATCTAAGAAAGAACATTCAGTGTTCGTGCAGACAGCAGGTATCGCTGGTATCAAAATGGGATTATTGTCATTTGTATATATCTAAAATGTATAGGCGTTCACTCGTCAAGCTGAAGACCAAGGTTCGATTCCTAACGTGGGTACAATATGTGAAAGGCTAGTTATGGTGTCTCCCGCCGTGATATTGCTGAAATATTGTTAAAGGCGGCGTAAAGCCGTACTCACTCACTCACTCGCTCACTGTGTTTATGAACATAAAGAGGGTAGTATTTTTCATATTATCAGGTGAATATAAACGGTTTTCACTGTTTAATGAGTATCTTATTGAACTTGAGGAACCGACATAAAAGTCGCATCACTCATAATGTAACAGCCCAGATAAATATACGACGCCATTGCGCCAAGTGAGTGAGTGAGTTGGGTTTTACGCCGCTTTTAGCAATAATCCAACTATATCACGGCGGGTGGACACCATAAATGGCCTCCGCACATTGCACCAATATGGGGAATCGAACCAGGGCCTTCGGCGTGACGAGCGAATGCTTTAATCACTTGGCTACCCCATCGTCCTACGACGCCAAGACGTATGGTAGTGAACATGTAGGGTCGGGTTTACCTATTCAACTTAACCATCTTATGGTCTTCACGGAATATGAAACTTCACGTAAGTCATAAGAAACGTAACATATCACACGTGGTGTGTCTGACTGATTATTAAAACACTTATTTTAATTACGAAAAAATTTAAAGTGTTGTCTCATGTAACACAATATGTAAATAAACCCTACAGGCTTGAAGAATAGACTGTAGTTTTACATCCCTGTTCAAGTGGCGATACATGGCTATTTTAATCCCATAAGTGGATTCATTAGATTGGTTTTCACGGAACCATATTTTTCCGGAATGTTCATGTAAATCTAACGCTAGAGAAAACTATACCAAAATGGAAGGTATGACAGGTCCGCCTAACAGCAATATTTATGCCAAGAGATTTTCAACCAAAGTGAACCGATTCTGCACAATATAAGTAATTCACGCAAAATCAATACGCTTCATGATGGAACTAAGGTTCAGTTGTTAACTAAGCCAGGGCCATTCACCATTCGTAACTGCTCGACTCTTTCCGTGACCTACAAGAAGACTCGTACCCCTATCGTACTCCATTATTGCCAAGAATCGTGGCAAACCAATCAAATCGCGCGTAGTAAAACGCATTTCGAAGCATGAAAATGGCGGCACCGTTGAACTTTGAAACTTCGCTAAACTATGCAAAGCACAATTTAAACATAGCTAAAGGATCAGAAACTTTAAATACTGAAACATATTTACAAAGGGAATGACTGTATTGCTGTATTGCTGTAGGATATTCTATGAGCCATGTTTGGAAATTCAGAGTTATCTTTCCTTTGTAATAGTACTAGACTATTTTCATCTCCATGCCCGTTTGCGCTTAGACAGGGCCCAGTCGTAAACATGGCCACGAGAGGGGTACGAGACGCCATCCGGCTTGCCGGAATGACACGAGTAATTACGAATGAGCAGTTCACATCATCAGAACTGGTGGAAGCGTTGCTCTACCAGAATCTCAGATTTTTGGAATTGCAAGGGGCGAACTTTATTGCCTTTAAGGTGATTCCCAATGCATTTGGTGAGTATGCATTCATACTTGAATATTGAAATAATCAATGGTATTTTTTTTTCATTTTTTTGCCCGCCCGCCCGCTCCAATCTGGGAACAGTCAGACGATGAGAAACACTGAATTAAATACGAACGCCCTCAGACGTGCATCGTGTTTGGCTTTCCTTCGAAGAAGCTGACACACCGTTGAAAACTTTAATGTTGTTCAAAGCGGTGTTAAAACCAACCTCACTCACGCACTCACTCACTTATTCCTTCATCCATTTTGTAGGGGACGATAGCGTCCTTCCACAGCTTGTTTCGGAACCTCATTGTGGCTCGCTTCCTCCGTCTCCGGGAGTCGGGGTAGATGAAGTTCTCGTCATCCTTCTTCAGGACGATGTCACCCTGATAGAACGGAGTGCCCGCTGAGGACAGAGGACAATGGGGACTGTTATAGCGGTTGTTACGAGAGGACAATGGGCACTGTTAAGGTGCTAGCTACGAGAGGACAATGGGCAATGTTAAGGTGCTTGCTACGAGAGGACAATGGGCACTGTTAATGTGCTAGCTACGATAGGACAATGGGCACTGTTAAGGTGCTTGCTACGAGAGGACAATGGGCACTGTTAAGGTGCTTGCTACGAGAGGACAATGGGCACTGTTAAGGAGCTTGCTACGAGAGCTCAATGGGCACTGTTAAGGTGCTTGCTACGAGAGCTCAATGGGCACTGTTAAGGTGCTAGATACGAGAGGACAATGGGCACTCTTAAGGTGCTTGCTACGAGAGCTCAATGGGCACTGTTAAGGTGCTAGCTGCGAGAGGACAATGGGCACTGTTAAGGTGCTAGCTGCGAGAGGACAATGGGCACTCTTAAGGTGCTTGCTACGAGAGGACAATGGGCACTGTTAAGGTGCTAGCTGCGAGAGGACAATGGGCACTGTTAAGGTGCTTGCTACGAGAGGACAATGAGCACTGTTAAGGTGTTTGCTACGAGAGGACAATGGGCACTGTTAAGGTGCTAGCTACGAGAGGACAATGAGCACTGTTAAGGTGTTTGCTACGAGAGGACAATGGACACTGTTAAGCACTGTTACGAATTTGTTGTTTAACGTTTCTTTGCACAAGAGGACAATTCTGATTCTTTACACAAGAGGACAAATCAGATTCTTTACACAAGAGGACAAATCAGATTCTTTACACATAAGGGCAATTTGACCTATAGATGAGAGGACAACTGAGATGCTTCACATCGGAAGACAACCAAGACACCTGAAATAAAGAAGTAACCTTCAATAATCTTGTATCAAATACCATAATTGCTTGGTTGGTTGGTTTGTTGTAACGCCGCACTCAACAATATTCCAGCTATATGGCGGCGGTCTGTAAATAATCTGGGCCAGACCATCCAGTGATCCACAGCATGAGCATCGATCTACGCAATTGGGTTACGATGACATGTGTCAACCAAGTCAGTGAACCTGACCACCCAATCCCGTTAGTCGCCTTTTACGACACGCATGGGTTGTTGAAGATCAACTCTAACCCGGATCTTCACGGATCCAAATCGATGGAAACCCTTTGTATTGTACGTGTGCGACGAGAACGGCACAACACCTACCTGTGCCCCGGGGTATTTGGGGCTGTTCTTCGCGGCCACCCGTCTGGGGATCGGAAAACTTGCACAAAGATGGCGGACAGATCCCTGAAACACAAAGACACTTCGACTAGTATTGTTTGTTTGTTTAAGCCGCATATCATTCCACTTATAGACACTGTTGTGTCGAAGATGAAAGGGCCTTAGTAAACACTTCGAGTTAGGCAAGGTTCGACACAACCGCAATTTGACGATACAGTCAGGAATACATAGGACCAAGCTATTACTCTTCGAGTTAACCGTAAGATCGATTCATCCAATGGGTTTTGACGTATATGACGAAATTTTGTAAATAATAATATGGCCAGACAGGTGATTAACATTATGAGCATCGATATATGAATTTTGGATACGGGGGTGGGTGGGGGGCTCTGAGCTTCGTACAAAGAACGGGGCCACTGATTGTTTCAAATCATTACTTTTGTCAATTTCATCAAGGCTAACTGGGGCGGTGGGGTAGCCTTGTGGTTAAAGCGTTGGCTCGTCAAGGCCGGGTTCGATTCCCCACATGGGCACAATGTGTTAAGCCCATTTCTGGTGTCCCCCGCCGTGATATTGCTGGAATATTGCTAAAAGCGGCGTAAAACTAAACTCAGTCAGTCAGTCAAGGTTAACTTACAGAAAGGCATCTGGAATGTAAATTTGAGGGTATTGCCTAAGATATGTCAGTTAACTGTTCCATTTAATTATGAAGTAATTTCTTCAAATATATTTTTATATTTATATATCTATATATATATTTTGTTTTATGTTTTTCATATCCTTAATCTATAATGTCCTTTAACCAAATTAAACGTTGTGAAAGACTTGATTTCCACATACTGCACACACACAATGGACGTAATCCACCCGCTTCGGTTACATGCAGGTGGCCCAGGTGTGTCTCAGTCACATCACCTACACTACCAGTGCTTACGTCGTTTACACCTCATGCACACACGTTTCTTCTCACACGAAGTGTAACTTGAGTCCATACATTTGTACAACCACGCATCAAAGTATGCCATTCGTTGTCCATTTTAAACGAACCTATTCTTGTTAGTTAAATTCCTTCAGCGATATTCAGGAAGGGATGCTTAATTACCCGTGGAAAATTGTAGCTAGGTGTGTGTCAATGCCGATGAATACATGTAGATATAATGATATACAGAGGAGTCACATGGCTGAGATATTTAGAATTGTAAAGGTATAATTATTGTGGAATTTATTACATGTTTATTTAAGGTTGATGGATATTAAGGCGCATATTGAAACGGGTGACACGTGAGATCATTTAACGTAGAATTTGGGCACTGATGTCCCGAATAAGGGGGTCTGTATGTACTAGCACTGAATTATATTTATCAGTGTATGTATGAAAAATAAAACTGCAATTAATACCGTCCTTTGACGCAGACGCATAAAACAGCAGTTGACCTTCTCCCACATATATGAGTGAGTGAGGTTAGTTTTACACCGCCTTTAGCAATATTCCAGCAATATCAGGGCGGGGCTTCATACATTGTACACATGTAGGGAATCGAGCGAACGCTTTAAGCACTAAGCTACCCAAAAGTCCCCCATATCTATGAAAAAACAATATTCACTGAAGGACAAAAGATTCTGATGTACATCTCAGTTGAATCTAACACTTATTGATTTTCAGTGGAAAATATCATAAGTTGGCGATATCAAATCAAAACATGAACTGTACGAGAAAACATAAACTCTCAACGAATAATTCTGTAAGTTTTTATTCTATATAATATATAACTGGATGTAAAGTTTCTTCTTAAAAATCGGTAAATCGCAAACAACTGCAGATAGATGCTTCACATTTCTTTTAAAATATCAATTCATCTGTTTTTATCACATAATTCAACATTTGAAATATGGCAGGAGCCACGTTGCAAATTCATTTCATCCCTTTCCCTATTAATTCATTTTTCACTAACACTTCAAGACGCGGATTACTTTTCCCCACATTGTTACAGGTACAAGAGGTGGTTAAGTAGACATAATCACATTTACACCTTCTTCAATTTCCAATTACACAAAACCAAATTCTTTTATACCATCCTATGCCAGTAAATATATTTCAAAATTGGATAAATTGCAGCACTTGAAGTTTCATCATTAATCACAATTCCATGAGACACAACATACTGCAACAATCAACGGTAATAGATGGGATGACGGAGATTAAAAGAAAGAAAAATACCAAAAATACTGCCACACTTAAAACATCACACAATTGTTATCTCTATCGCCACCCAACCTGGCCCCGTTGAGTAACAGAAGCAACTCTGGTATTTAACGTAATGCTTCATTGTGTCAGTCTGTCACAAAGAGCCATCTGGGTAATGCGCGACATTTGTCTCAGTTCCGTTACGAGCTTCCAGTTACGACTTGTTGGGAAATCGGACTCCCTCCCTCTTTGGAATTCACCAAAGACAGGTTAATTGTTTCTCTGGCTACTTTAAACGGGGCTCATATTTTAACTTAGACGCCACCAAAGTTGCTGTTAAATAACATTTATTTTGCTTAACCAAAACATAACACCTCGGTTAGGTTATACGCCGTCGTAATGGTTTGGGAAGTTTGAAATACATTTATTAAGGCCAGTTCTTACCCAAGAGGTAGACTTGCATAAGTCTCTAAGGCAATATTTTATAGTTTAAATAAAAAATTCTAAAAAAACCCATAAATAACAGACAGCCGTACGTATAAATAAAAACAACACATCGTCCCTCTAACAGATAGGCGTCCTTAGATGTGTACTATCCGCTTACCTAGACTTCCCTCTTTAAGGAAAGAATTGCTATACATCCATGGGCATTCAGTACAGCCTTTGAGCAAAGCTACCCAAGAAACTGCCTAGGAAAGTAAGTGTCGAATTAATGGAAGGTGGTTAAATTCTTCACAAAAACTATCTGTGATATTAGCAAGTCGACTGAGTTGTTGGTTATAAATGTACTTGCTTTCTCTCTGTGTGAACTATTGGCCTCTGCAAACTATTGGGTTGCAGTAATGGCGGTGACTTCAGGCTTACAAATCCCTCTGCAAATGGGCCAGTGGAACAAACATGCTTTACTGTAAAGCCTATCGTAACCCCTAAACATTGACTTACGTAGGAATTAGGAATCATAAAGATTATTTCTCAAACTCCATCAGAGGTGAAGGTAGAATACATATTTGAGACGTGCAGTCTATCGTAGTCAATGAACTCAGATACTCAGTTAAAACTCCATCAGAGGTGAAGGTAGAAGACATATTTGAGACGTGCAGTCTATCGTAGTCAATGAACTCAGATACTCAGATAAAACTCCATCAGAGGTGAAGGTAGTATACATATTTGAGACGTGCAGTCTATCGTAGTCAATGAACTCAGATACTCAGATAAAACTCCATCAGAGGTGAAGGTAGAATACATATTTGAGACGTGCAGTCTATCGTAGTCAATGAACTCAGATACTCAGATAAAACTCTATCAGAGGTGAAGGTAGAATACATATTTGAGACGTGCAGTCTATCGTAGTCAGTGAACTCAGATACTCAGATAAAACTCCATCAGAGGTGAAGGTAGAAGACATATTTGAGACGTGCAGTCTATCGTAGTCAATGAACTCAGATACTCAGATAAAACTCCATCAGAGGTGAAGGTAGAATACATATTTGAGACGTGCAGTCTATCGTAGTCAATGAACTCAGATACTCAGATAAAACTCCATCAGAGGTGAAGGTAGAATACATATTTGAGACGTGCAGTCTATCGTAGTCAATGAACTCAGATACTCGGATAAAACTTTGTACATTCAGCCTTACTCGTAGAGATAAAGAAGACGCACATCCTCACTGAACACCTAGTTAGATAATTTGGTCCTTCAGTCATTTTCCAGCACGTCAGTTTGTCTAGGAAGGAATGCTCGATTTCATACAGGTCTCCGACCTTCGATGACACCCACGAGCACAGATATGGCGTTGACAAAAGTAGAACTATAACCCGGGATAATCTGGTATTCCGACCACGATCGTAGGATCCTGGCACACCCAAAGGATTCAACGCTTCACAAAGATCCGTTTGCTCTTTCCCTTCTCATGCACCCTGATGGTACAGTGTTTAACACAGCTTTCGTTGGCAATCTCTGGCTAAGTCTCGATTGTAGAACCGAGCCGCCATGCTATGCAAACATAATTGAAATTCCGTTATGAAAGAGTCTGGTGTATGAAGTCTCCAGATAACAAAGCAACCGCAGAGAGTCAACATTGTGATAACATGCAAGGTTGCTCGTGTCCGTGAACCAAATAGCGCTGTATACATGTGACCTCAATGATACGAAAGGCTTAACCTCTATATTACAATAACCCACACCAAAACCTTTTGACATCTTTATCATAGTAGGACTTACAGAAGGTCGTACAGACTAGAGTTCAAACCAGGGACACATAATTGCTGATCTTGCATATCTTAACGTATTTGGTCGTTGGGGTAGCCTGGTGATTAAAGCGTTCGCTCTTCACGACGAAGACCCGGGTTCGATTCCCAACATGTGTACAATGTGTGAAGCCTATTTTCTGGTGTCATCTCCCGTGATATTGCTGGAATATTGCTAAATCTCAAATAAGGTTTTGTGAAACTCAAACTCACTCACTCTAAACGTAGGTGTGGGCACTGGATAAAGGTTAGACTAATGCTTAGTCTCTGAATATATATAATTTTGATAGTAACAAACAAGCCCATTTAAATTCAAAAGGAGCCCTAGGGAGACCAGAGATTCAGAACCTGAGGAAATCTAGACTTGCTTTATTTAGGGCTTTAGCACTGCAGAGAGGGCTAGGCAGTAGGGAAAATAATGTGGTTCAGGGACGGTGAGACAGACTAGATAAATGTCGACGGTCTGCATCCAATACTGTGTGAATGCCCAGAAAACGAAACATACCAGATCCCGGGCTACATGACTCGTGATGTTCGAAGACATCGCATAATAGTCAAATTGTTATTGACATTTCCTGACGTCAAGAAGGCATATTCCCAAAGACTTGAGCCAGTGACGAGTCAGTAAAACAAG